AAACTTTATCTGAAAAAAATATTATTTTTAAAAATCCTAACTCATTTTATGACTTCAGTCATGTTTTACGATTTTAGTCACTGGAAACGCTTAGGCAAAAACAATGTCAACTTTATCTCTGATGGTGTATTAAAAAACAAAATAAAATATGCACAGAAACAAACAACTGAGAAATATAATACAGTTCTATAACCAAAATAAGGAATTCTTTTTCCTTTGAGTTATAGAATTAGCCACTTACTGACCTGTATTGCCAACTGATCTATCATCACTATTTCTAACTTTCCCCTTGCAGCCCTGGGCTTGAGATGATACTCTAATGTCGAGGCTGACAGTGGGGTTGGGACAAGAGTTGCTACCGTCTTGATTATCAGAGCCCTGGAGAATGAAAATGCCCAATGTGGACCTCCTGTAAGGGAATGCTTCTCTTGAAGGCAGTTATTAGCCAATTAAAGAATTAGATGGCATGTATGGACATGGGAAGCTTTGGAGATGAGAGATGTATCAATGATAGAAGGGTTGAAAGTTGCCTGTGAAGTGAAGCTGGAAGAGGAAATAAGATGGGCTGTTTCTTTCCAAAATTTAAAATTATAAACCAGAAGGGGATCTACAGAGTGAATCTTATACCCTTATCTTACAGATGAGTTTACAAAATCATCTCATGTTATGGCAATAAAATAAAGAAAACGAGATGATGTGAACTCAGTAAGATACAGCTATCCCTCTATCACCCAGCTTACACAATTATTAACTTGTGGCAAATCTTATTTCACCTGTACTGTCACCTCCTATCCATTCCCCTACATTGTTTTAAAGTAAGTCTCCAATATACAATCACTGTAGCCATAAATATTTCAGTACATATATCCAAAATGCAAAAACTCTTAAAACCCCATAACACTATTACCACACCTAAAATAATTAACAATTTAATAATTAAAGTAATTAATTCACAATTTATGATATTAAATAACAGTAATTTATTTTCTTCTTCAGATTTATTGGGGTATGACTAACAAATAAATTGTATATATTTTAGGTGTACAACATGATCTTTTGATACATGTATTTGTTAGGAAATAACTACTACACAATTTGATATCTAGTCACAGTTGTATAAAATTATCATCCATCTCCCAGGCTCAAGTGATCCTCCCACCTCAGCATCCCAAGCATATGCCACCATGCCCAGCTAATTTTTCTGTACTTTTTGTAAAGATGGGCTTTTGCCATGTTGCCCAGGCTGGTCTTGAATGCTTAGGTTCAAGCGATCTACCTGCCTTGGCCTCCTAGCCAGTGCAGGCCCCACACCTTAATGACTGTGCTAACAAGCCACTTTGCCTTGGCCTCCTAAATGGGATTACAGGCGTGAGCCACTGTGTCTGGCATAAAAAGTTGTGTTTTATAGTTTTCTTGTTCAAATCATAATCTTAAGGGCCAAACACTGCAATTGTGTCTCTGAAGTCTTATTTTAATCTATGGATTTTCACTGCTTGTAATTTATGTGTTGTTAATTTATTTTTAAAGGAGGGATTATATTCGCCACAGGCCAAAGAAAGTGAAACAGAAGTCTAAAATTATGCAACTTTGTGCTACATTTTTCATCTTCACATTCTTGTACAATTATCCTCATACAAATAGATTCCAAATCTGTGAATAACATTCAACTGGTTTTATGTGATAGTTGATACTTGCGGTGCACAAAACTTATGCTGCCCATAAAACAAGGTATAAAAAGCTCTTCTAAGTGACCTAGAAAACTCGATGTGCCTAATTCTAATTTATTTATAGTTTAAACTGTTTATCCAGTTTAAAAAGATCCAAAACAATATTTAGAAATTTAAGAGGCATATATTATTCATAATATTCTAAGAGTGAAACAGAACTGATCTCCAGAAGTATCTTCTTTGATACCTCTTACTTCTCAGTTCCCAAACTGCCCAAGACCTTCCACCACAGTACCTCTGAATTTTAGAATATAAGGGTAATAGAGCTTTAAAATGGATTTCTCTGAATTTACATATTTCTAGAGTAAGAGACTCTTTACTTAAGGATAATTTGGTAATATTTATTAAGAACAATTAGAAATGTCCACACTCTTGATTCTAGATTTCAATCCTGGCAATTTGTCATGTGGGCAGAAGTAATCAGAGATGACAGAAAAACTAACATTTAAAGCTCAGGTAAGCCTGAGTGTTTGTCTTTCAGTACCATATATTTTTTCTCTTTTTAGAGCAACAACAACAAAAAGAGTATAAGAAAAAAAAGAGTATAATAGTCATATATTATATGACTATTATTTTTACTTGATAATATAAAATGAACCATTCCTACCCCCTGTCAATACCTATTTCCTCTAATTCTGAACTTTTTGTTTTTTTCAAATGGCATGGCTCTTCTGGTAGTGGTGGCAAAAATGTTAAACAGATGGGGTAACCACGGATCATTTCAAATTTTACTTTTGTAAGTGAGAAACTGCCTATGACAAATTGGTACGTTATTTGCAATAAAAAAAAAAAAGAGATATGAGATCATGAAGAATTATTTTACATTTTGTGCACTCCAAATAAAATAAACTTTTGTGTTAGCACAATAAAATATTTAAGAATTGACCATTTTAGACGTCTTTTGGAGGTGTCATAGGGGATATATATCATGTGACTCTAAGGTAATAAGTTCAAAAACAAAATAAACCATGATTATTCTAAAGGTTAAAGTCTGTAATTTCTAAATACTATGAGTTATATACTATAAGGAATACTATATTTAGGGAATCTTAGTATTGGAATTTACTTCTAACAGTAACAGGTTAAGAAAAATATATAATTCTCCTTAAAAATAAACTATATATTGTTAAGTAATAGCCAGCCTATTTAGCAATAGGCAGACATTACCTTAGAAGTTGGTGGTCCCCCTTTGTCTCATACAACAAAATCATTTTGTCCACTGTTGATGATAAATAAGAATGGGCCCAGGCTAAACTGCAAAATATAGCTCACTTGTCTCGAATGTGCCCAAACTTCCTACTGTGCCTTTTCACATATAGTCTAAGAGGGTGAAGATAAGCTGATTCTGGGCAGTACGTGAACCAGTAAGAAAAAGCAGGCTACGTATTTGGTAGTAGCTCCTTACCAGGAGGTAGAATGAGAGGGACTGAAAATAATTTCTAAAAGGGATAATGAGGCCAGGCACAGTGGCTCATACCTATAATCCCATCACTTTGAGAGGCTGAGGTGGGAGGATCACTTGAGCCTAGGAGTTCAAGACCAGCCTGGACGACATAGAGAAACCCCATCTCTACAAAATATACAAAGATTAGCCAAGAGTGGTGGTGCGTGACTGCAGTCCCAGCTAGCACCACTGCACTCCAGCCTGGGCAAGAGAGTGAGACACTGTCTCAGAAAAAATGAACTTACTAAACCACAAATAAAGATAATGCATATAAAATACCAAGGTAAACATTATAAGAAAGATAAAAAGTGTGGAAGAAAGAAAAGATCTTATTTTTTCTGAATACAGGTAAATAAACAATATTCAGATCTGAATAACTGATTCTTTTGATTTGGCCTTTAAAATCCTTCTCATTGCAAACTGAGTTTCTATGGTAAAATATTATCTCAGATTGGCTTAAAATATTCCAATAAAAGCAAATAAACACTAATGGGATAGATGAAACAAGAATGGATATTGACTTTATTGAAGGATTCAGGAGAGTTTGATAATGCGTATTTGAAAATTCTAAAATTAAAAGTAAAAACATATCTTTTGAAAAGATAGCTAATGAATTAATAATGACTGAAGCAGAATATGTACATATTAGAATAGAAAAATCACAGAAACAAAAGTCATTTAAAAGTCTCCTATATATAAAACAAAGGACTAAATGAAATAAAATGTGAAATCAAGGTACAATTTTTTATTATCCCCAAATATAAATTCTATTTACAATATTTTGTGCCGGGCGCGGTGGCTCATGCCTGTAATCCCAGCCCTTTGGGAGGCTGAGGCTGGCGGATCACGAGGTCAAGAGATCAAGACCATCCTGGCCAACATGATGAAACCCCATCTCTACTAAAAAAATACAAAACTCAGCTGGGCGTGGTGGGGTCTTGTAGTCCCAGCTACTAGGGAAGCTGAGGCAGGAGAATTGCTTGAACCCGGGAGGTGGAGGTTGCAGTGAGCCGAGATGGTGCCACCGCACCCCAGCCTGGTGCCTGGCAACAGAGCAAGACTCTGTCTCAAGAAGAAGAGAAAAAAAAAAAAACAAAAAAAAATAAATAAATTATATATATATATATATATATATATATATGTATTTTGTTTAGTCCAATTTACATAGGACTTTAGACTATTAAATTCATTAGCTTATTAATATTCTCTGACTATATGTTAAAAAAAATGTTAGTCATTATGTAGTTCACTATTCTAATTAGGCTACTTTCAACAACCTGATGGTAAGGAAAAATCAAAATGTAAGTAAAGTCCAAATCCAAATGAGCAAATTTTTTAAAAAAGTATAAAATTACAGAGCTCTGAGCTACACAAATAAAAATACCCTCAGAGTCTTAAATATACTAATAAAGAACTCCTTGATTTCTAACACAGGAACAGAAAACTAAATACTGCATGGGAGCGCAAAAATAAGAACACATGGACACAGGAACGAACAACACACACCAGGGCCTCTGGGGTAGAGGGGAAGGCGGGGGCAGGGAGAACATTAGGGAAGAGCGCTAACGCATGCTGGGCTTAATATCTAGGTGATGGGTTGATCTGTGTAGTAAACCACCATGATACATGCTTACCTATGTAACAAACCTGTACAACCTGTACACGTACCCCGGAACTTTAAAAAAAAAAAAAAAAAAAAAGGACTCCTTGAGTTTATTTGATTCCTATTTATTACTTGAATAAATTCAGAAGTTGCTTTACCTGAGGAGTTAGCCTGTCAGCATTTATGTTTAAAAGTTACGAGTATGTCTTCTAATAAGTATACTTACTTGCTGTTTCAAAACCAGGTTCTTCACTCCTTCCATCACAAACTGTGATCCTGTATTCATGACTCGTGATAAGAGACTAGATGGGGGCAAAAAAGAAGGACCATACTAAGTACAAACTGCCTCTCCAATATGTTACAGATAAAATATTTGCCTGATTACACACCACATGCTGATGCTCGCTGTACCTACCACCTTTGTTTTCACTAAACAGAAGGGTCTTGAGAATTTCTGCTGCCATGGGTACCACTGCTGCAATTTTATTTAACAATAAAATAGTAATAAAATACTCTGATTAGTCAATAATGCTTAAAAAATATAAAAATAAAAAGCTGCCCTCAAAATAAACATCTTAATTTCCTAGTCTCAGCTATAGTTTTTTTTTTTTTTGCAAGTTATAATTTGAAGAGAATTCCTTGACTTCTTGATTGTCTAATGCTAAAAAAACCAATTTAAAGATAGTAACTTGGACAACTTGCTTTACGAGTTCAAGCCACATCAACATATTAAAAATATATATGCCAATAAGTATTATGAGTAGGTCAAACATCACTGTGTTCTCTTATATTAGCAGCTGGATCCAATCCTACATTGTATATTCTCTCCCACTCTGTATACATAAAATCTATCATATAAAAATGTGAAACACAATAGACTTAGTGAATTTTGCCTCAACTCTGAAGAATGTTGTTTAAATTTTAAACAACAACCACAAAACACCAATAAGTGACTTCATACTGGGTTTGTATCTGTGGTTCAAACAGTCTCCCATATGGAATTAGAGGATGTTTTGTGGGACAGAATAGTAATCCTGCACTAAAATCCCAGAAGTCTAGGGACAGCTTTTAAATTACCCAAGATTTTCTTTTATAACACATTTATCAAAATCCCAACTGCAAAATCGTAAGAAATCTAATAGCCTTTAATGTTCAATAAGATTTTTAAGGGATGAAACTGAAAAGTCTATTTTATTAAATATATGGAAGTAATTTTCCAAAAATATTTTCCTTTTCCTCATCTTGTCCTTACTCCCCTCTAAAATGAAGAGATAGACAGGATGGAAATCGTTTCATTAACAGAAGCAAGAGAAAGTAATCCTTGTTGGAATTAATGGCCCTGGGGTGATTCCTGGCACCAGGCAACTCCTCAGGGATATGCTAACCTGTGCAGCACTGTCTGAAGGTGAGGCCAGCTAGATTCCTTTTACCAAGTATTTCTAAGGCTGAGTGCTTTTGTTTTTGGAAATTGTTTCATTAAAACCAGTTGCTCAGTGTGGGGCTAGGATAAACCGGTTTTCCTCTGGCTTTGTGCTTTTGTTTTAGCTCTAAAAAATAAGCTAGGAGTTGGAAACTTGTATGGTACCAAAAGAGTAGTCAGAATTACCTTGTTCAGATTCTTTGAAAATCACACATACTCCATTGGAGTCTCTGGAGTAAGATGTCATACCCAGCCTGAAGACTTCCTATAATTTAGCACTCCTTGAATCTATCCTGAAGCTAGGCCTAGCTTCAAGTCTATATTACTTATCAACACTGATATTAAAAGAGTTTTAACCCTCTAATGTTTTCTGAAAATGAAAAATGTATGTTATAACAACAAATAGGCATATGAACAAAAACCATTTAGAAGAAAATATTTGCAGAAAATCTGGAAAATAAAAGCACCCAAAAGAAAAGCAACTTTACCCCTTGAAATTACCCACTATTAACATTTAGTTGTATGTCATTTCAGCTATGCATTTAAATGTACGTATGCGTATACTCATCCACACAGATATACACAGATGGATAAATGGATAAATAGTGATTATACTGTAAAAAATGTCATCTAAGTTTCAGCTCATACCATGTAAAAAGATATTAACTTACATTTTAAAGTGAGAATTTGAATGTGCCCAACACTAAAAAATGATAAATGTTTGAGGTGATTCACATGCTAATTACTGATTGGCTAATTATACATGGTGTGTATTATCACACTGTACCCCATAAATATATATAATTATTACATGTCAATGAAGAATAATTCAAAAAATAGAAAAAAAAAAAATGAAGAACTTAAGCCATCTAAATGTCACCAAAGACATAGTGACATTTTCCACATTCAGAGTGTTAGACACTGCGTTTTTATGGTATGAAAGTCTAAGTAAGGTTTTGAGTACAAAGATGCAACAGAATTATTAAAAATACTTACCCCATTGATTTAGTGGTAGTGCTGCCATAGCTGGCAGGAGCTGAGGCCATCTTGGTAAAAGCCCTATGAAATAAGGAAGTTGTACTTAAAAGCTAATTATTAGAGCTAACACGGTGTCACGGTATTAAAATATCTATTGACTTCTATGATGCAGACAGTTTCTGAAAAGAGAGTTTTCAACAAATATAACTGCAGTATACTTAGTACTAAAACACTGAAATGATTAATATTATTTTTTGAGACAAGATCTCACTCTGTCACCCAGGCTGTAATGCAGTGGTGCCATCATGGCTCACTGCAGCCTTGACCTCTCAGGCTCAAGTGGTCCTTCCACCTTAGCCTCTCAAAGTGCTGGGATTACAGGTGTGAACCACTGTGCCCAGCCGGAAATTCTTAAAAAAGCACAAATGCATTAGGTTTCCAAACTTCTATTTTCCTTCTTTTCTATCTGATCATTTAAAAAAAAAAAAAAAAAAAAAAAGAACTGACATAGAGACTTGATGACTTAAAAGAACAAACACGTAATAATTTAGTCTTTTTACTTTTCCTTACATTCTATGCTCCCTTGTTTCCAGATACATGCCTTTGCTCATGCTGTCCTTTAGTGAGTATAAATTCACTACCTTCTTCAATAGAAACAGTACATTTCCGTTTAAGACTAAGTTCAAAACCACTTTCTTTGTTAAAGAAAACTCTACCACTCAATGATTTTTCCCTTTAGTTACATTCTATACCACAGATTTTTATACTTAATTGCACATAGTTGTTTATTTTCAACTCTTTCTAAATGTCCAGAATCTCTGTATCTAAACAATACTATTGATGAAGGGTGGGCAAAAAGATGGCATTCAGATGTGCCTTAAAAAGTATCTTCTGAGAATATTTTCATTGTACAGAATCCAGAAAACATAAAATGCTCAGAAGAATCCTACCACTTTAAGGTAACCCCTGTTAAGATGTTGGTGTATAGTTTTGTGATCTTAGGACATATATCTATTTAATATATATGATTTATAAACCAAAATTAGCATCATATTGTATATACTGTTTTAGAAAACATGTTAGTGGCACATCATAAACATTTTATGCCAATGAATATTCATAATGATTCTTATTTTAAATGTGTTTTAACATTTAAAATAAGAAGTACCTAAAGAAAAAAAGAATACCTAAAGAAAATTTTATAAGGGAAAAAACGTACATCATTAAGATGTGGTAGTAGAAATGCTAAAAATTTTCAATTTCAATCTTGACAAAATCTGCCAACAATACCCGTAGAGAAATCCCAAACAAAAATTTCAGTCTTGTTCAGAAAGGAGGATGTGAATCAGCAGTGGATTAGAATTTCTGCATTAACAACAACGAAAAAAGTTTTTCACTAGAAAAAATATCTAAAGAACAAAGAAGCGTTAAATAAATAACAATACATTTATATAGTTTAATACCATGCAAACAGTAAATACTTCCACAAACTGGCATGATGAAAGTTATTAAGAACTAGAATACAAAACTCTAAAAATGATTTCCCCATTTTAAGAAATATCTGGCCAGATGCAGTGGTGCACACCTGTATTCCTAGCTACTAAAGAGGCTGAAGTGGAAGGATCATGAGCCCAGGAGTGTGAGGTTACAGTGAGCAATGGTTGTATCACTACACTGCAGCCTAGGTGGCAGAGCAAGATCTCTAGAAAAAAAATCTGTCATATGCATAGAGAATGAAAGGATATACGCTAATGTTTACTTGTAGTGCAGGACAGTGAGAATACAGGTAAATTTTTATTTTCTTTATACCATTCTGAGTTTTCTAAAATTTTCATCAATAAACCACTATGATTTATAATTGGAAAAAAAACACATTACAAATTAGAGATAAAATATTTCGAAAAATAATGCCCAAGACTGCCTTTCTCCATATATCTCTAAGCAGTAATTATGGAGCTCCAAGTAAATCATAATATAAAAAGAAAATAATATGCCACATGGCAATGTGTGTAACTGTACATATAGGCTGAGCATCCCTAATCTGAAAAATCTGAAATGCTCCAAAATATGAGACTTTCTGAATGCTGCCATGATACCACAAGTAGAAAATTCCACACCTGATCTTGTGTCAGGCTGCAATCCAAATGCACAAATTAAGAATATTGATAAAATTATCTTTGGGCTATGTTACATAACATGCATATGAGACATTAACCAATTGATTTAGACTTGGGTCCCCATACCCAAGATACTTCATTATATATATGCAAATATTCCAAAATCTTAAAAAAATCCAAAATCCAAAACACTTCTGGTTGCTAACATTTCGGATAAGGGGGACTCAACCTGTATTATAAAAATTCGGAAAGTTTTCAGTTTTCCTTTTAAACAAAGATTTGTTGTGTATTTTTTTTTTCTTATTATAAGAACACAAAAGTAAGTCTGAAAAGTCAAAAGTATAGGTAATAAAAAGCACTCATAATCTCACCACTCGAGATAACTACTGTTAACAATTTGGTATAATTCTCTTGCTATGCTTATTTTTTGACATACTTGAGATCAGAAAGCATATTTAATCTTTTAGTCTTTAAAAATATTTTAAAAACGATTTTAAGGATAATAGCTTTTGTAGAAAATTCAGAAGATAAAGAAAAGCACCCAAAAGGAAAAAAATTCTACCACTTGGAGTTATCTCCTATTAACATTTAGTTATATGCCATTTCAACTCTGTAATTAAATATTTGTATGTGTATGCTTATATGAATCCATACATATGAATGAATAAATGGATAAATAGGGATCATACTGTAAAAAATGTCATTTAAGTTTTGGCTCAAATGCGACTACCTAGATGCTCTCCCTGATCTCCTAAGCCAATTTAGCCATCACATCCAGCAGGTTAAAATCTTATCACTTAGTTTTATTTATGTCTTTTAACATGGTTTAACATTATTCTGTTCATTTATTTGCTTATTTGTTAATTGTTTTCTCAACACAAATGTAAATTCATTGGCAGGTTGGGCTTTGTTTATCATGCTCGCTATTAGGAAATATTTATCAAACAAATTCAATGAAGATTGTTGTAAATTATTATATTTTTTACTTTACAGTATAACATGAACATTTACCAATGTCATTAAGTAAGCCTTCTGATTTTTAATGACTCAACTGTATTTATGTTGCAGAAATACCACAATGCACTTACTAATAGTACTGCTAGACATTTAGGCTGCTTTTAAAAATTTCATTATTACAGCTGTGTCTAAAATCTTAGCACTCCAATTGCACCTTTGGGATAAATCCTTAAGAGAAGTACTAGGTCAGAGCTATTTCTAAAGAACTCTTTATACCATCCAGAAAAAAAATTGTGACAATTTATATTCCTAATAGCAGAGTATGAAATGCACAAATTAATTTTCCTGTATCTTTGGCATGGTATTTTCGAAATGTTTGCAATATGTTAATCTGCATTTCTTTAATTACTAGTTAAATTAAAATTTCCTCTTACTGCTTTGGAGACATTTGACTCCAGGCATTTCAGTCCTTGACTTTCTCACCTTTATCAGTAAAGAAACTCTAAAGCTTGCCCAGGAAAGAAGGGCATCACTGTTTTATGTAATTTTAAGTTGTAAACAGGGTGGTCCAGATAAGGAAATATTTATGCCACTGGATATATAAAACCACCAAGGCACTGGTCCAATTTTCTTATTAGCATTCCCATTTTCTTGGGAAAGAAGCCTCAATTGTACTCTTTAAATGACAGGAATTAAAGAAGAAAATAAAACTTACTTCCACTGTTTGATATACTGTAAAGGATTAAGGTTGCATCCTGCATCAGTTAAAGCTTTTTTATATTGCTCCAAATCAGCCTGAAATAAGAAAAGAACTATATGACAAAAATTTTTACTTTCATGAAAGATGTTATTTGTTGCCATTTGATTAATTAAAAAGTAAGACCAAAGGCACAAGTTTAAATTCTTGGTACCCAAGTAGAGTGATGTCTTAAATGAGTACCCAAGTGAGCACCTAAGACAAAAAAATCACATATAATGAAAATTACCTTTAAGAGGCTCCCAAATCACCTATTAAAGTACACTATTTTTAATCTCTCAGTAATTCCAACAAAGTTATTTCTTCCTTTACTGTTAGAATAGACTGCTTTTCCTCAGGACATGCACTAAATGAATGATTTGGTTTGACCAAGAATATTTCTAAACCAGAAACACAAGGGGAATGACACCAACTGAGGGCAGATTTGGGTTTTTCATCTCATTTTCATTCTAGGGTCCAGATTCATTAACTGGACAACAGGTGTCCTGAACTTTTAAAATTGTTGCTTTTTTTTTTTTTTTTTTTTTTCACTCTTCCTTATTCTTTATTTCCTGGTAAGTCTAGCTGAATTTGTGTAACTTAAAGGAGCCTATCTTAATGATCACTTAAATTTATGAAAAGACATAAGCCTTGCCAAAAGTAAATAAAAATAATGTGATTCGGTGAATAGTAAATTAAGTTTTAAAAATCACATATTCTTAAGAAAAACACTTTAATTAGGCTACTAGAACCCCTGAGATATAAAGGTGAACCCCTGAAAACACCTGTTGATAGAGAATTTTTTTTTTTTTGAGATGGAGTTTCATTCTTGTCATCCATCCTGGAGTGCAGTGGCGTGATCTGGGCTCACCGCAACCTCTGCCTCCCTGGTTGCCTCAGCATCCCGAGTTGCTGGGATTACAGGTGTGCACCACCACACCCGGCTAATTTTTGTATTTTTAGTAGAGATGGGGTTTCACCATGTTGGTCAGGCTGGTCTCAAACGCCTGACCTCAGGTGATCATCTCACCTTGGCCTGAAAGAGATATTTCTTAAAAAAAACCAAAAAACAAAAAAAACACACTCAACACTTTCTTACAAAATTAGAAGTGAAGATCTGTGTTCCCAAGTTAAAGTGGAATGGCCGAGAACAAATACTTGGTTTAGTTTTAATATGCTGAAGACTTTTGACCAACAGAAACCTATCAATTTACCAGATATTAAAAACAATAATTGCTACCAGTAAAGAATGGAGCATAGAACAGACAGCCACATTCTAAATGTCATCTTGAGGTTCCTATGCTTCCTGTTCATCCAGTAAAACTATACAAAGTTAACATTAGAGTCAACGGTCTCTAACCCAGCAAGAAGTCTGATACCAAAATCACTACTTTCTTTTATAGAATAGACAATGTATTTTCTATTTTTATTTATTTATTTATTTAATTTATTTTTATAACAGAGGAAAGCATGAACGCAGTCCCCCACTACCATAAATTATGCAGTCGAGTTTCCCACATTTGGGGAAATAGCAGGGGTCGGCACATCCGGAGTGCAATGGATAAGCGTTGCCTTGGGAAAACCACCTTCGCGATCATGGTATCTCCCCTGCCAGGTAAGTACTGACAATGTATTTTCTATATAGGACATTCGTTTTAAAACAATTTTAAAATAAGATCAACCTTTCAAAAGGCATAACAAATCTGATAAACTTAGTGTAGAATAGTTATTTTCCAAAAATAAGAAGTTGGGCCACTTGAATTCAGTTCACATTCCAACAACTTAAAAGTAGTCAGATGTTTCACAGGTAGTTTCCCCTGGTAACAATAAAAGTTGCTATAAAATACAGCAGTACATAGAAGCAATCTTAACAAATTATTTTTCTTTCATTTATTTTATTTTATTTGAGATGGGGTGTTGCTCTGGTGCCCAGGTTGGAGTGCAGTGGTGCAATTTTGGCTTACTGCAACCTCTGCCTCCCGGGTTCAAGCGATTCTCCTGCCTCAGCCTCCCCAGTAGCTGAGATTACAGGCACACGCCACCACGCTTGGCTAATTTTTGTATTTTTAGTAGAGATGGGTTTCGCCATGTTGCCCAGACTATTCTCAAACTCCTGAGCTCAAAGTGATGTGCCTGCTTCAGTCTCCCAAAATACTGGGATTACAGGCGTGCGCCACCAAGCCTGGCTGTTTTTCTTTTAAAGAAAAGAATGAAGTAAATATTTAGCTACAGTGATTTTTACTTCTATTTTTAAAATTTGAATTGTAGTAGTCTATAAACAAGTATTCCATTTCCTCCCAATAAGTGAATAAAGGACATACCTCAGAGGGTGCTTGCTGTGTGCTTATATAATAGATAAGAAACAACCTCATTTTATCTTCTGGAGTTCCTGCTGCATAGGGGAAAAGAGATTAAAAAAGATTTTCATAATTGTGGTTATTATGTATTATAGTCAACACAAGTATGTTACATTTCAAGGGATATATAAATGTGACAAAACAAAACATGGCTCTTGACTTAACTGAGTTAAGGTAACAGGCACTATAATTACAACCATGTAAAATACAGATATGGAAAAGATTAAATGAGGTGGGATTAGAAGATTACCATTCTTTGTGTATGATTATGGGAGCCTCTCTATTGTATCTTCCAAACTGTGTATAATGTTAGGATTTCCCTTTTAGATGTAAACTCACAATGAAAAGAAAGGATGTAAGAAGGGTAACCATATAATTCTAAAACAGGAAACTTTTGAGGTGGCAAAAGGGGTGCCAGTAACAATTACATAACGAACTGGTATGAAAGTGGGACTATCCTGGGTAACCAGATGTATGGTCACCCTAGGAATTGGGTTATTAAACTTTTCTGGCTAAACAAAATCATCTAGCTGAGCCTAAAGCCATACTTCTCAAACTGGGGGCCCCTAAATAAACATGTTTCTGAAGGCTTTTATATTACTATAAGGATGGGAAAACCATATATTTTTATTTAAAAAATATTGTTATACGATGTAGAATATATTTGCCTCAAATTTTAAGACAAAACATAAGATTTCAAAGAAATTTCTTGCTTGCAGTGCTCTGAGTTACTACTCTTATTATCCAAGGCCCAAGTCCAGAGAGACTCATTTACTGTCTGTTCTATCATGTGCGCTTTGGTGGAAATGTGATAAAGCACTGGTGTCAACAAATAGCAATATTCAGTCTCACTTCAAAGTGTATCCTAAGATGCAAGAACTCAGAACTGTCGTATTTCATTATAGGATAAAAACTAGTTGATTTTTTTTCAAAATATGATGACTGATAGGACATTGATTTTTTATGATTTGTGACACTAAAACTCATTTTCAAATTATCCTTACTCCCTGAATATGACAAAGCATGGTAAAATAAAGATCAGTGGTAAGTTCTCTAAAGTTCTAATATTTACAAATAAATACTGTATCTGGGGCATTTTGAGTATTAGGTTATGAGACTCCTGGTCCTGTTAAACCCTAGGACAATGCTGATATTTTTGTTTTAGCAGGTAATTAGCCTGAAGGAGTATAGGCTAATGTTCCTATCAGTCTTCCGTGGTTATTCTTCCATCATTAATTCCATTTTCAAAACCTTTTGCAGTGCTACTGGATCTGTCCCACTAACCAGTGGTCAATCTGGGGACTGGAAGGTAGTCTTCTAGCCCTTCACCTCTCAGTTTTTGAAATGCTGTTTAGGATCAGCTTCATACATGTGCAGTTCAGGGGTAAACCCAGGAATTCATGACCAACTTTACAAGGTTGCTTTCCTGAGCTCCTTCCTCTCCACAATCTCCCTGGTACTTTCCCATTTCCTTGGCTTTCTCTTTTTGGTGCTGCAGATAGAAAGCCTTGGCTTTGGTTACCCTGCTTCACTGAGCACTTCCTGCCATAACTGCTGCAACTATGACCAACCAGCTAGAGGACACGGAGAGAAAGAGTAATGAGGCTTGTCCTACCCTCTTGGGACCATGGATCCTAATATACAAGGGGAAGGTTCCCCTCCCTCAGAGTTTTAGGAGCCTGTGGGTCCCTGAGGTTGCTCTTAGTATCTTCAGCAACTAGCATGGCCTTACTTAGTTTGCTTAAAGAAGGAACAGTTCCCACTCTTCTTCAAGGGGAAACATATGTTAAAACTGCTACAGTGTTAATAACTGCCTTAGAACATCTGTTTAGGTTTTAAAGACCAATCTGATGGTAAGGGCTGGGGTGCATACTGATGCTTATAATGACAACCACAGGGAAATCAAACTGAAATTGTTAGCATGTGTCCTTTACACCTGTGATTATTCTAAAGCCTGTAGCTACAGCCTGGAACCTCTTATCACACTTACCTCTCTCCTTTGACTGCTATTTTAAAGTCAGAATTCCCTCACTGATTAATATGATGTATTTTAGAGAAAAGTTTTGAAAGCCTGGAGTTTGGGGAGCTTTTGTTCTCCCTGAAATTTTGAGAGTAAGATGCTGACCTGCTGTCCTATCACCCCTGATGTCAAAGACATTCTCTAACACAGCCTCAGAACAATTAGCAAAATCACATCATCGTAATGTGTCAATGTTAGTATCAGATTTTGCTAATTGTTACCATTTAATCCTCAGATCCTATTTCAAGTTTTATCAATTATGTCTAGAGTATGTTTTATGGAAAAAGGATCAATTTCAGAATCATGTGCCACACACAGTGTCATGCCTCTTTAGTCTTCTTCTGTATGAAGCAGTTTCTCCATTTTTCCCTTGACTTGCATGGCCTTGGTTTTTTAAGACTATAGGCTGGTTTCTTCCTCGAATATCACACAATTAAGTTTTGTCTAATACTTCCTCATGATTAGATTTACAGTATACCAAGACGAGACTATCACAACAGTGATGCTGTGTTCTTTGCATTGAATCCTACTAGCCCTTTATCTCTCAGTCTTTCCTGAGCTCCTCCCTCTCCCCAATCTGCCTAGTACTATTTCTCACTATTCTATGTCTCTCGACTGACGACATTTACTGTGATTACCTAATAAGATATTTATCAGGTTACTTTTTCTCCCTTACAGTTAAGTATTTTGTGGGAAGGTATTCTGAAACTGCATTAATATCCTATGAAATTTCAATTTATTCATTTATTATGTCCACATGGACTCTTAGCATCCACTTTTATCAATGGGCTATAATCTGTTATTATTTATTTTGATGCTGAAATTGTCATTATCTGGAGCCTCTTCAAGTTGACTTCTGGGTTCTTTTGACATGTTCCATCATTTTTGGAGTGCCTTCCTTGCCTTCTGATACAACAAAAATGTTCCAGATCCATTTTGTACTTTTGCTCCCTGCCCGCCTCTAGAATCAGGTACCTCTCTAAGGAGTCATAGTGGAAATTATATTTATAAGCAGAAATCTTTACTAGTTGGGTACTGCTGCTCCCAGTCCTTTTCAGTTGGCAGAGGTAGGGAATATATGAGTATACACACACACACACACACACACACACACACACACACACAACATACAATCTATATTTCTATATCTGAACAAATATATAGTGAAAACACTCAGTTCACACCAATACCTCTAATTCCAATCCAACACTACAGGGTTCATTCTAATTTCTTCCCCTTCTATATTTATAAATTCCTTCTCTGACAATGGGAAATTGGGCTTTCTTTATATTATCCAATATATTTAATGGCCAGGTGTGGTGGTTCACGCCTGTAATCCCAGCACTTTTGGAGGCCGAGGCAGGCAGATCATGAGGTCAGGAGTTCAAGATCAGGCTGGCTAACGTGGGGAAACCCCATCTCTACTAAAAATACAAAAAATCAGCCGAGCACGGTGGCACGCGCCTGTAATCCCAGCTACTCAGGAGGCTGAGGCAGGAGAATTGCTTGAATCCAGGAGGTGGAGGTTGTGATGAGCAGAGGTCGTGCCATTGCACTCCAGCCTGGGCAACAGAGCAAGACCCTGTCTCAAATATATATATGTATCTCCCCTGAATATAACAAATATCCCATCTCTGCTTCCATCCCCTTGCAGCATGGATGCCCTTTTTACTTCATTTGAGTTCTGATTTCCTGCAATGGACCCATACATATACGTAGACATATTTCTCATCCCACCTAGGCCCAAGCTGGGTTGTTCCTGTGTGGGGTCACCCTCCTCAATCTGTTAGGGCTCTCACACCTTGCTAAACTGCTTCCACATGTAGATGCTCTGCTTTCCTCTCCTGAACTTTGACATATAATGCTAGATTACTAATCTTCTCTTTATTCCAAGAGTGGATGCCCTTAGTCATTTTGCTCAGGTTCCAACATCTTATTCTGGACCAAAGTACCAGTAGACTGCTACTTTGCATGAATGCCTGCCTTGCTCTACCCTGGTTAGTATCGGAATAAATCATTTGAGAAAGAGGAAAGGAAAAAGCAGGACTGACTCCCTTTTTGTCAACATGCTTTTTTTGTTTCAACTTTACTCAAAAGTTACTGTAAATAACAAGGAATAGCTCAGAAATAATGAACTTATATGACTTTGAATTTCTTTCACTATAAAATGCATATACCTTTAAAATGCTATGTTCTCACCACAGATCTAGCTTTCTAAAAGTGTGAGCAATACTTATGGTTTCTCAGATGTTTTTATAAATAGAATCTTAATTATAAAACAGCTTGGACTTTTAAATTATTTTCTAATTTAAAATACAGTCTAAAATTTATAACAAAACAATAACCCAAAAACCATCATCATGCAGCTTGAATAGCTTATATGCAAAATGGGTCCTAGGCTTTCCATTTGTTGTGGAAAAAGCTGAGATTCGAATTCAAAACTATTCTGAAGTGATCTACAGGTCTCTAAAGTTTAGGGAATTTCAGAGGCTAAGGCTCTATGTAGATCCCACAATCTTTACAATTAAGAGACACAATTGGTTTACATTAAATTTTTTTTTACTGTTTTTCCCTGTGGGTTTTTTTTTTTTTTTTTTTTTTTTGAGACAAGGTTTTGCTCCGTCACCCAGACTGGAGTGCAGTTGTGTGATCACAGCTTACTGCAACCCCGTACTCCTAGGCTCAAGGCATCCTCCCATCTTAGCCTCCTATGTAGCTGGGCCTACAGATGCATGCCACCCTGCCTGGCTAATTTTTTTCTTTCTTTTTCTTTTGTATTTTGGTGTATATGGGGTATTGCTTTATTGTCTAGGCTGGTCTCAAACTCCTGGGCTCAAGAGATCCTACTGCTTCAAGCTCCCAAAGTACTGGGATTACAAGCATGAGTCACTGTGCCTGGCAAGTCTTTACCATTTTTAAGTGCACAGTTCAGTGGTAAAAAATATATTTATATCTTTTTGTTCCCTTCATTCCCCCATCTCTCTACCTTCCTGGCCTCTGGTAACTACCAATCAACTCTGTATCATCATGAGATCTACTTTCTAAGCTTCCACATGAGTGAGAACATGTGATATTTGTCCTTCAGTGCCTGGCTTATCTCACTTAACATATTGGTCTCCATAGATCACATTTTCTAAGTACAAATAGTTCTATTTTAAGAAAATCTAACATACAAATATTTAAAGGGATTGGCCATAGAGTTCCTTTAAAAGTAAATTCTTTAAACATGTAAAACAGAATTTAGTTTTAGATACGTATTTTCAGGAAACTCAGGGTACACCAAAGTAATTAGGAAGCAAATCACTTAGAGACACTTGATTTGAATGTTATACCTTCAAGTCTTCCTGGAACCAGAAGAAATTAAGCTTTACATACATTACCTTAAACAAGTAAATTATAAAAAGTGCTTAAATACTATAAAATAAAAGTTCAAGAAACGAAATACAAATCATTTTTCCACTGTAGGAACTGCTAGGTTACGAAATTTTCCCAGAAAATAGCTCATTTAATTATCTTGATATTAGCATTTCAGAAATACAATAATTCTATTCAAAGTTTACTGAAATTGAAAATGCTGGTTTCATCAGATATGAAACTTACATTAGCCTCAAATTTATGGTACATACCATCAGGGTCTGATATTATATCTAGAAGAGATTTATCCAGAGTAGTTTTGCTCATTATTTTTTCTTCATATTCAAAATATACATCCAATTTTCTGGCCTGTTTCAAAATAAATATGAGAATACATTAATAATAAAAATACATAATGTCTACTCACCTTGTAAGTTTCTATTTTCTATGATCAATTTTAAGACATGTTCATTTTTTTTCTTTGAGACAGGTCAAAAGTACAGTTTAAAAGTACTAGGCTAAAGTTCAGCAGTGCAATCTCAACTTCGCAGGCTCATGTGATCCTCCCACCTTAGCCTCACGAGTAGCTGGGACCACAGGCATGTGTCACCATGCCTGGCTAATTTTTTTGTATTTTTTATAGAGATGGGGTTTTGCCATGTTGTGCAGGCCGGTCTTAAACTCCTGAGCTCATGCAATCTGCCTGTTTCAGCCTCCCAAAGTGCTGGGATTACAGATGTGAGCTACTGTGTCTGGCGTTCATTTCTTAACAAAATTTAAAGTATCTTACTTTTGAACATATATTTAATACAGAAATAAAAAAACCAATAGATTATTTTGTTTACCATATTTGATGGATAAATTCAGCAGTAATTCTGCATACCATACAAACATTAGCAAAGATAAAAACATAATTCTTAATTATTGTATTAATTAGTAACTGGCATACAAGTCATATTGTACTCCATGCAAAATTAATGTCAGGTGGTCAAGTTATGTTTACTTTTTTAGCATGCAAATCCACATACATTCACCTTTACTAAATGGAAGGTTACCTTAACTATTTTCCTTGTTTTTTTTGAAAAAAAACCTTTTCCTCATTAGTTTTCCTATTTAATATCTTAAAGATCATGGAAAATTAGTAAAACTTTGCTGTGTGAGACCTTTCCTAAATGAAAATTTTGTTGATTAAAATTATCCAAATAAAGTTAACATATTAAGATCCTCCAAAGTAAATAAAAATTACCAAATATCTCTTAAATTATGCTCCAGATAATAATGAATGAGCAAAGAACATTTTGTTCAAATGTTCAATTTATTCAAATGTTCAACTTGAACAAAATGTTCTTTGCTCTTTCATATTATTGAGGGTGTTAATAATCAAGTGGGAGTAGAAACCATTCATGAAATTATAGTGATACCAACACAGAACCAATATGTAAGTATATAACATAAATAAATACACGATGCTAAAAGGCAGAATGAAATAAATAGCCAATTGTGGAGGAGGAAGTGACACATTCTGAGTTGAAGTTTGAAAGTGATTTCAGGACATATGTATAGTTCATTTCAGTTAAACAGATCATGCCAAGGCACAACAAGGTAGAAACATCTAAATAGTAGACTAAGAAGTGAATTACATATGGAGCAACAAAAAATCAGAATCCTCTCACTCCCACTCCCTTGCAGTGGCATGCAAGGCCAAAGTTTTATAGATGAAATACCCAGAAAGTTCAAAAATGAATGCGGCATAAAAAGATATATACTGAGAAGTCTTATTTCACCCTTATTTTACCTACAGAAGCAGATAGAAAAGGGATGGTCCTCTTCCACCCCTTTTCTATCTGCTTCTGTAGGTATTTGTTTTATTATTTCCTCTAGTTTTTCAGAGTTTCTTTGTGCAAACATAAGCAGAGTCTATATTCTAATACCCATTTCCCTTCTGACACAATAAGTATGATACTGTACTTTTCTGCCCCTTTCTTTCCCTGAACAATAAATTCTACATTAACATGTAGAGGGTTCCCTATCAGTGAGCTCTTATTTATGAAATCTCTGGCCCTTCATATTCTTCAGACTCTCTGATACAGGAACTACTTTAGCTACTCTATAAAGCTATTTTAATACTACAATAGATACAAAGTAGAATCTTAGAAATGAGAAAGTCCTACCAATAATATTAAAAATGAACAAAAGAAATATAAGAGATCCTAAGAAAAAGACCACAGTAGTGGCTGTGGGAATGGAAAGGACAAGATGGGTATTGAATAATTTATATGAGAAAGGATATGGAATACAAAGTAGTGAAAGAAGAAAAAGAAAACTTTGGGGAATGACAATGATGACACTAGGAACTGTTAAAGTGAATATTAGCTTGGGAAAAGCTGTATGGGCAGAGTGAAGTCAGGAATGGAAGGGGAAAGGTGCTAACATAAGGTGTTAAACTGACTTTTAGGCCCTCTGATCCGGCTAACCTTTTCTGTTTTATTATTATTCACTAGATTCAGTTTCCTCTAGTCACACCAAATAGTTACTTCATTAAACTTGTAACATTTTATTAAATACTGTGTTCATTTTTAATTCTCTAGCCTTAGGCTCAAGTTTTCTCTTAGCTTTTGCAGAACATATTCCTCCTCTACCATCTAATCAGTGAATTCTGCTCATTCAAGTTCTAACTTCTCTGTAGTTTTTCTGCAACTTTCCTTCAATCCCTGCTGTCTCCCCTTTCTGACCCTCTCCCAGTCTCTTCCTTGGCCAAAAGAACTCATTACTCCCTTATCTGTGTATTAACAGCACTTTATATACCTCATCATAATAACAACTATCACAGTATATTACTGTCCTTGGTTTATGTGCCTTTCTAAAACTGTAAACTCCTTAGAGCATGTCTAATTGTTTAAATCTAGGTGTCTAACACAGCACCTGGCTTATAACAAGCACTTGCATTTACTGAATTTCGAAACCAAGAGCAGGACACATACAGACCAAGTAATCATTTTTAAAAGTCATGAAAGTAGATGAATGAACTTCTACAAGTGAAAAACATAAAGAATCTAGTCTTTTATGACTGAATATATAAAACTCAGTATGCTAAGGTACGGTGGCACACGCCTGTAGTCCCAGGTACTCGGGAGGCTGAGGTGAGAGGATCACTTGAGGCTTGGAGTTTGAGACTAGCCTGGGAAACATAGCAAGACTCTGTCTTTAAATTAAAAAAATTAATAAAAAATAAAAATATTAACTATGCTAAATGCTATAGCAGAACTTAATTTCTGTAACTATATAAATCAGTACAAAAAAAACATGGCTCACTGATTTATGTCAATACGGGCATTTGATTCATTTTGCTCTTTTTGATGTAGTATCTTAGTTATAACATCAACTTCTAATGAACAATGGAAACAGGGTCCAAAAACAACTTAATGTGACCGGTACTAGGTAAGGGGTTTCTTTTTGAGGTGACAAAAATGCTCTAAAATTAGACTGTGGTTGTGGTTGCAACAACTCTGTAAATATTCTAAAACCTGCTGAATGATATATTTTAAATTGATGAATTGCATAGTATGTGAATTACATCTCAATAAAGCTGTTAAATAAAAGTAACAGCTCTTTAATATACTGATTTTGAGGGAGCACCATCTAAGAGGAAAAGAAGTGGAGTTCTGTACAGATTTTCTAACCTGCATAACAGAACTAGTATCTCTTCAGCACCTGTCATGTAAAAGGCACTTTACTTATAACTATGGCTTTCAAATGTTTTTAAAGAGAGAGCCTCAGGACCTCTTTCTCAAACCAAATGTTCTGCAGAATCCTAAACATAAAATAGATACAAGTGATCCATTAATGTCTCTATACAGCTCTAGGACACCAGAGAATAGTTTTTAAAAACTACTAACATTCTCTCATTTAATTCTCCAAATAACACTATGAGCTAGGAATTATTAATATCATTTTAAAGATGAAGAAACAGACATACGGAAACATATAAACCCTATGTAAATGCAAGTCATATTGTGGGGAGAAGAAATTCAATTTACCTTTATATGTTCTAAAACAGCAGTGGCAACATTTGTATGGAGATCAATAAGTCTTTTTTTCTCAAGGAGTTCTGGTAAAGAACTGCAAATATCAAAATATTAAATATTAACCAATACATTTTCTAAAGTGATACAGACCTCATTGTCTCCTCTGGGAAGCTCAGAACAGTGAAACAGTGACAAGATGACAAGTTAAACTATCAACAGATTTAATCTCTAGACTTGAACACCTACAGTATTTATTACTTTAATACAGGGGAAATGCTTCTTGTTTTAAAATAATCTGGCTTCCAAATATCATTTCTACCATCTTACTTTCTGATTCCAAACTTTGGAGGCTTAAATAAAATCAAATTAATGGAAACATCCTTTATCTGTATTTCTAAAACACATTTCCTCCCTCCTTCTTAATGGCATTCAAAGTACAGAAAAACTGCTTAACTTTTAGTTAAGAAAATAGTATCAATAATAAAATTAATAATCACTTGCCCTACTTTATCATTAATAGTATTTTCCTTGTAAAATTACCCTTATTACACAGTTTTAACTGGTCAAAGAAACGAATGATCTCTGAGGGAACTAAAATCAGCTTAAACGTTTAGTTAAAAATAATTCAGTTCTTTAAATTCAGTTATATTTGCTATTGCTTACTATTTCCTACTAGTTAAAAACATTAATAATATTTTAGTCATATAAAAATAAATAAATAAATAAATAAATAAATCCTATCAACAGAAAGACTTCAAGCAGGATATACTGCTCACTTACCTAACAGCTGATGTTAGCTTAGCAGTATTGTCAGAAAGCATACTTATGGCTCCTTCATCTTCCCCTTCTAGTCCCTTGTAAAGAAAAAAGATCCTAATAGCTACTCAAAAATCCCAGGCCCAAGCATAAAAATCAACATATTCCTAAGATCACTGATACACAGTAAGATTTTTAAGTCACCTAGAATAGCAATTCTCCTCCTCTGAGGTGCAGGCATATATATTTATGACAGTTACATAAAAGTTCTAGTCATTGCCAGTCTAATGGTTAGATGACTAAATAATCAGCTGGCATTTTTGGATAAGGAGACAGGCCCAGAGATGTGCCACAGGTCACAGCAATAAATAGTAGAGCTGAAATCTCAAGTTAGATCGATATATGTTAGAATGAGCAGCATTAGAACATGTATCTCTAAAATGAAGCTACATTATATATTTTTTCAAATCACATTTATATTAATATTTAAAACATTTCTCTTATCAATATTTAGATTTTTTTGGTCATATATGTAAGCTGAAAATATTTTTGTTATAAAAGCATTAAATGGCCTTGAATTTTTATAAGGAAAAAAACCCAAATCTCTTTAACAGATAACCCTCTTCTTTCCTATAATTCTTAGAAGGCAAACAGAATCTTACCATAATGCTTTTAAGTCGTTTGACCTCATCTTCCTGTGCTCTGTAAGATTCTAGTTCTTGCTGAACTGATTCTGCAACTTCTGGGAATGGACTAAAACAGTAGTGCACAAGAACTATGAGTATGACATTTACATGTCTTTCTGATACCCATATAATAAATACTATTTCTTTAAAATGCATATAATACTTATACATCTAAAAGTTAAATTTCATTTATATTTTTCATTAACAATATCATACATTCTCTTCACCTGTATGCTTTTAGAAGAAAAAGTAAAATATTTACATGACTGAAAATCAATGGAAGACAAGTCATGGTATATCAAATATCAATTCAATATTCCTACCCAAATTAACACATAATGTCAAAGGGCCCATGAAACTACAAAGGTGGCATTTAAAAGTATCACCTGCAGGTAACTGTGAAAAAATTCTTGTAACTCATAACCCATAATATCCCAGAATACTACTGGTAAAAATAGCACTTGGGCCACAGTTTTAGTGGTCTAATACCTGCTGTCTTCTTCCAGGACATTGCCGTTTAGCAGTAACTTACATAAACTTTAGGCAGAAGTGAGCTGCAATCATGAACAGCTCAGGTAGAAAACACTGTACTAATCTTGACAAATTCTAGATGAATACATGTTGACCATGAAATATTTTTTAAAATGAAAATTTTCATCTACAGCCTGTAGGGCAGGGGGAGGGGAGTAGAGGCCTTTTCTTCTTTAAGAAAGAAGAGGTCATGTCTCATCAACAATGGAACAAAAACCTTTCTTCCCTTCTTCAGCTCTGACATTTGAAAATACCTCACTAATAATGACCACATTTATCCAATGGGAAAATAGAAAAGACAGAAAAGACAGGGGTTCAGAAAGGATTCTGAGGAACACAGTCCAATTTTACCTCACAACCCCAGGCATTTACTCCAGCTCCAGCTGAGTCTATGTTAGCAAAAAACAGCACTGACGACTCAGCATTGCACTGGGGAGTCAGAAACCCTTGTTATATCTAAATAAAATGGAAACTCCCTTTATAGGCAGAGTCTTACCCTCTTAGGGCCCTAGCTTTATCTGTAAAATGTAGGGGTTGAACTAGATAATCCTCAAAATCTCTAATATCTTTAGGTCTCAGAGTTAACAGAGAATAATAATCGCTCACATTTACTGAACGATTTTACTGTACATCAAATACTATGCTAAGAATTTATCTTTTTTTATTTTTATTTTTTAAGATGGAGTTTCACTCTTGTTGCCCAGGCTGGAGTGCAATGGCACAATCTCAGTTCACTGCAACCTCATTTAATCCTGACAAATCTGTGGAGGTTAACTATCATAACTTAAACTATTCACGGTTAAGACTGGGTGCTTTACGGTCTGCCAGACCTGGATTCCATCCCTGGCTTTATCAAAGAATGCTGGATGATTTGGGCAAATTAACCTTTAAATTCATTATCTCAATATTCATAAGAATCTTCTGAAACAGGGCAATAGGCAGAATTATTATTGTCCCATTTTACTGATGAGGAAACTGAAGCGAGAGGTTTAAGTCACTTGTTTATGTTATCTCCAAGTGTTTCTGTGCCCATGTTACTACTGTAGTAAGACGCAGAACAAGAGAGCTATTACTACTAAATGAACAGAAGGTTAAAGTTCTTACTATTCAACTGATCTCTTAGATTGTTTTTAAAACATACGTTCTAAAAAATTCAAAATTTTCATATTTGAATAAAGAGATGTTTTCTTAAGCTTTTCTATATTAGGGAATGTCAACTTCAAAATATGCTGTATTCTCTATAAATAATGCCTCTCTAGTAAAATGTAATTTATTGTACGTCACCATTCTGGAGGGAAATGTAGACTATGGAATTCCAAAGGGAAGAATATTATTTAAAATAAAATTAATTAATATAGTACCTAAAACTGCCACAGTGAGAAAGACAGTGACTTTTTTCTACAGAGCAAGTCAAATCTTTGTTATGGCAATTTGATTTTCCAGCTTAAAAAAAAGTTGTAAGTGAAAAAAAGATAAAACATATTAAAAACCCAGCATGTTGAACCAAGTCTATATTCCACTTCTCTTTAAGCAATAAATATAAGACCAAAAGAACAGCTACATCAAAGACACACACACACATTTTGGAATATTTTTTAAAAATCATATATTCATAATTGTTTAACAGTGTTCCTCTTTTTCTCTGAGTAATTTTTTTGTTTGTTTAGAATGATTGCTGTAGCCATAATGATCACCAAATAACTTTTATAGTAGTAACTGAGCCCATGAAGTACCCTAAACTTTAAGGGGGCATAGCATCACATGGGATATGTGTATCTGCTCACAGTAAATCACATGGCAAATTAATGCAGTTTTTTCACTCATTATTTCTAATGTACTTAGAATAAATTCCTAGGCTTTAGGCTTAGGTACTCTCTCCACAGATATCTAAAACAAGGTTTACATGAGGGCAACATGGAACAAAAAGAAAAAAAAATCACCCCCCACATCACAAAAACCAATTTTAATTAAAGGCAGAGATGGTCTTATAGAGTCAGTGGAGAGAACAACAAAATTGAAAGACTATCTGTAATATCTTCAAAATTACATGGGATGCTCTCATTGAAAAGAGAAGTGATCCCTGTAAGACAACAATTAACGAAAAACAACCTAGGAATCAGCGAGAAATGGAGAAATAAAGACAAATATCTATGGACTATTTAATTATAGCTCCCACTCATTGTGTGAATGAACCTACATGACCCTTTTGAATTTTTTCTCAAATTCATTAAGGCGAATGACACCTTAATTTCTCTTTAAAAAAATGAATCTTTTACTTATTGATATTTTGCTTACCTTCCTTTATGTTTTTGCCAAAATTTATCAACTGGAGTTAAGTCATAAGACTTCTTGTTTTTTCTCTTTGGTCTAGCACCAGCTGGAGAGTTCTCCACCCCTGAAGTTTCTTCCAAATTAACCCTGTTTAAATGAAAATCCTAGAAAAAAGTAATCTTGTGTTAAATAACTGTTTTCTAAGTCTAATCAAAATAGAATCTTGTTGCCCTTTCTAATATTTCCAAGGACAAAATATAGATCTGAAATTTAAAAGACTTCCTCCTTTTATTATACAAATGTAATTTTGTTTCTGTATTTTAATGAAAATGTTAGATTATATGATTAAAATTTCAAACAAGAAAAAGAAAAAAAGTTAATATTTTTATATATCCTTACAGAAAAAATGTATGCATATAATGGCATATATATATCATCTTAATTTTATTTTAAAAAATGGGAACACCATATACATATGTTGTATCTTTTTTCATCTAATAATACATTTTAGTGCTCTTTCTATATCTGTATAAGTACATCAACTTCATCTTTATCATAATTACACAGTAGTCCAATGTTTGGCTAAATCAGCTAATGTGACCTGGCCTCCTTAGGCTTGGTCGTTTCCAGTGACAAACATTAATCTGAAACATTTTTAAACTCTTAGAGAGTCAACATTCTGATGTGTCGCTTGAGTGATGAATTGCAATTTAAAAAATTACAATAGATGCAATAATAAATAATAAATGATGCACCTCTTTCACATAAACTTTAAGAGTCAGGCCAGTAGTTGCTAAACTTTCTTGCCTAGGACTAATTTCATTTACGTGAGGCTTGCTTTTTGTACCCTTTCTGTAAAAACAACAACGACAACAACAACAAAAACCCAAACCCAAACCAAAACCAAACCCACAAAAAAACCATTAGGCAAAAATAAAAGTAAGTATCTTTTTTATCTTTCCCCCAACTTCTTGCGTTACATCTATGGGTTCCCTCACAGATAGCAGCATTTTATGGTTCAATGCCCACTCAAGAATAGTGAGAGATAAAACATGGCTATCAACAAGGAAATGACTGATAAAGAAGAAAGCTACAGTATGGAGAAATTATCCAGCATGACTGAAATATAATCATCTTGGTTCTAAGGTATCTGTGTGTATTTTAACAATTTTAACAATTATTCTAGGTCTTAGCAAATTAAACATACTGAATGCAATTCAATCTCCTCTAGATGAAACAAGGTTATCAATACTGACTCTAAGTCCTTGTAACTTTCTCAAATAAATCCTTTACAATAGTTTTATTTCCTTGCCATTTTTCTCTTTGACATAAAAAGCAGGATTTGAAAAATTACAGATGTCTAATTGTCATAGTAGAGTAACATGTCTATTTTCTTTTCTTTTTTTTTTTTTTTGAGACAGAGATGGAGTCTTGCTCTGTTACCAGGCTGGAGTGCAGTGGTGAGATTTCGGCTCACTGCAACCTCCACCTCCCAGGGTCAAGAGATTCTCCTGCCTCAGCCTCTCGAGTAGCTGGGGACTACAGGTGCGCGCCACCTGGCTAATTTTTGTATTTTTAGTAGAGATGAGGTTTCACCACGTTGGCCAGTATGGTCTCTTGACCTCGTGATCCTCCTGCTTCGGCCTCCTAAAATGCTGGGATTACAGGCATGAGCCACTGCCCCTGGCCTAACAAGTCTATTTTCTATCTAATAAGTTATAGAAGCAATGAGGCAGCCTTCTTTTACTTGTATGTGAAGTCCATCAAAGAGAAAAATAAAAAAAGCATAGCTGTCTTTTTTCTGCAAGACACTATTCTTAGCACCTTATATTAAGTCATATGATCCTTCCAATAACCTGTAGAAGCAGTAATAAAATTCCCATTCAAGAAGAAAAAACTGAGGCATAAAGAAGTTATACAGAAATATGTGACGGAACCAAGATTAAAACCTAGGCAGTCTGACTTTAGAGGCACTGCTTTTAAGCATTGTTTTAATTATATCAAGAGCTGCAGGAACAGAGTGAGTGGAATTAGATTCTATCACTTGAAATTCCCTGTAGTGCAGAACATGGGTAGCCTCAGGTGATTAACAGGCAGTTTAAAGACTATAGAGTTACAATAAATGGTTGGAATGACAAATAAAAGTATGTTATATTTCAACCTATTACTGTCTTTCCTATAGAACCCTCATATTATCATAGGGCAAGAATATGAGTGACTAAAATCCTTTCAGTTTCCCATCCTTGTATCTAAACTTCACTTTGTACAAAAATCATCCATAGAGGAAGAAGGTAAAAATAGCACAATTGTGGAAAACCATTTTAAACAATAACAGCTACATCTGGGAAGAAGCCTAGCTTTAAAAAATTATCTAACAAAACAAAAGATATTGAAGAGAAACATCTTTAAACAGTTAAGCTTTATTAACTAGAATTTCTACTGAAGTACTATTTCCGTGGTGATGGCACAGTTCATTCAAAATAAGTTAACTTGCTAACAAAATTACTGCTCCAAAAGTAGGAGAGGATGTTATTACTGAAGTATTGATGGAATACTTAAAAGAAAACACAAAATAATAAAGGAATAAAAGATGTTAAGAATTTTGAGAAATAATTTAATAGCAAGGATATTTCCATTGTCTGCATAATAGCAAGGCAAATAAAGGTAATTTCAATCTTTGTACTTAGAAAATTACAACATTCTGTGCTGTACTCAATCATGTTAAAGTAAATGAACGTTTATACACAAATGAAAGACAACAGAATTACTTTTAACATGGTAGAGTCTAATCTGTTTCCATTGATAGTCACATTTTCCTAACTTAAAAGATAGAACAACGGTGCCCCAAATCGCTACATGTAAATAAATCCCATCAGGAAGTGATAAAAACATGGAGAAACCTTCAGGGGTCTTGTTTTCCTCTCCCAAGTTAGAGCACATCAGTAGAGCCAGAGAGAGTTAATGTTAACAAAATAATCTGGATAATATAAGCAATACCTATTTATGCAGACTTGAAATTCACAGGCAAAGAAAAGCAAAGTAAAATAAAAGTTTCCTTTATTTTGGCAAGAATTTACTATCTCCTTAACTCTAAATGCTGTTAGAGCAATCATTAAACAACTATTGATTCAACAGATGTTATTACTGAATTACATTTGGAGTAATTCTGGAGTCATAATACAATGCCAGAGCTTTCATACTGAGGTGACACACTGAGGTGAGTCTTCAACTCCTACTATCAAATTAACCAACAAGAGAAATAAAATACAAGAGAGAATCTATTTAAAACTAGGGAACACATATAAATACTTCTTGATAACGATGAGAATGAACAGAACTGAGGGATGTGAGGAAAAGGAAAGGAAACTACCCACTGGCTCCACCAACATCTTCCATGGCTTTGGCTTCTATCCTTACCCCACAGTAAAGAAATGTGCCATCAGTCACTTGAAGATGAGCACACCTATATTGTCTCATCCTTGCACACAAAACTAGAGAGAATTCTCATCCCCAAAAAGAAATATTTTCTCTGGAGAAAATCATCTTAGGAGTTAGACAGTTTGGGGAATAAGGGTGACACCAATAACAGAAGACATAATAAAGAAAAGTACACACAAATTCTCTAGAGCAGGCAAATATTCCTTTCTGTAAATCACAGTTACGTCTTTCATACTCAAGATTTTAATTGTAAAATAAAAGCTATGAGTTTCATCACTTTTTGCCAAAGGCAGGTAAAAGACAAAATATGATCTTTAAAATATTAAAGACAGAATTATAAGGAGTAAGGATCATTGTCTTCATAAGACAGACCAACAGACTAATACATCAGGGTTTCAATACCCATAATAGTTTCAATTAGATTCAGGGGAAATTAAAGCATTATATAAAAAATTAATTTTTCAATGCTCATCCCTAAAAGTAATTTCCATGACTGGAAATTTCAAAGATGAGGTACCTAAGCAAAATGGAATTTAAACTTATTTCTACTCTTTCAGAATGCTTCAGAACCAGTTTCTGTTCCACATTTTATAAACTGGTGATAATGCCTCTAATGACACAATTTACAGAACTTCCTAGAGACTGTAATTCTATTTCTTATCGAGAAATCAATTATGTACAACCATTAAACAATTTCCTACCCTCAAAGAGCATGGATAACTATGGAACTCAATGAGAAGAGATCAGAGCTTTAAGAGAATCACAAATTACACATTAGACGTTTTTTCACATCCATCACTCCACAACAGATACATATATATTAAGATGGGTTTCTAGCTAAAATAATATAAATGTGTATTTATAATGGCACAGCTCTCCTAAGTGGCCAAAGAAACAAAATTCCCAGTCATGGTGATGATATATGGTTTTAATCCATCTAACAATTTAAATTCAAATATTTTCTCTTTTACGTAACAAGTCATCTGGTTTCTTTGGTTCACACAGATCAGTCTCTCAAACTCAAGCAGAGCAAAGATTAAAACATATTTGTTACGATGAAACAGGAAGACTCAGCCCTCCACTGATGCTTCTAAATTGTGTGCAAAGTCAACAGTCACTAATGTAATTTTACAATTTCACAATACCACAACTTGTTATTAAAAAAAAAAATGGGTTATTTAATCTCAGAGAATGGGAAAACCAGAAGATGCTGTCTTTTTCACCATGGAAAATGTCTGAAAGCAAAAGTATCCCAGTAGAAATAAACAGCCCTAATATCCCAGACTGTGGTATCCACTATTTGTCATTCAAAGGAACCAGGGGCTTTTTGAGAAATGGCTGCATCCAGATCTAAGGCAGAAAATGAACATGATTAGCTTAGGATATTTTTCATACCAGAAAGCAAAGAAGCTATCAAAGATTGATGGGGTCATGTCAAGAGGCTATCAAGGCCAACATGATAGGCCCAAAATGGGATAATTCAAGCATTAAAATGAATGACTGTAATAGTGTAAAAACATCTCAAATATAAAAATCTGTTCATAAAATTATACTAAAACAAAGGACTTTACTGATTGCCTCTGCAAATTACTAGGGTACTCACTAACTCTGAAAATTGACAAAGGGAGATAAGCATTTGTCCTAAGTAGATGATAAAAAAAAGTTCTTTATATAAGCATATCAGCTAAAAAGATGGAGGAGGAATAACAGGAAAATCACCATTTGCCATCAGTAATTAAAATAAAGAGGAAATAATTATCAGTGACATTAAAACATTTAGATAGAAGATTTATGTAGAACTCTGTAATAGATGGATCATGCTGACAACACCTGAACCCACTGATCAGTCTGTTCATTAACATTAGGACAAACAGATATCATGTACCTCCTGATGTAATAAAACAGAAACTAAAGAACACTGCCAGCAAATTGGCCTTGACAACAAATTGAATGAAATCTCAATTTTCACAATCAATTAGTTTACAGGAAGTATTGGGGATACAAAAGGATATAATCAGCCAAATGCCAAAATGTAGGAAAATCTATAGAAAAATGACCACTTTCAGTCAAAAAATGGCAATTAAAAAGGAGTGAGGAGGGAAGAACTGAGAGATTTAAGAGATATATCAAGTAATAAAATGTATAGATATATTTCTGGATTCCTATTTGAACAAGCCAACTATAAAGAAGCATCTTTGAAACAAATGAATACAGAACTGGTATATTATCAGGAAATTATCATTAATTTTGTTGGGTAAAATTATAACTTTAAAAAATAGATACATGCTGAAGTATTCATGCTTGGATCATATAATACCAGGGAAGCTGAACAATGTAAATATGAGTTCATTACAGTATTTGCTGTATTTGTGTTATCTGAAATATTCCCTAGTAAAAATTTTATTCATAAAAAAATAATAAATACTATGACCAAGAAAAAAAATCTTTATCATTTTATGCCACTGAGGTTAGAGGGTTAGTTTAGACTGAGTAGCACAACATGACCCATCTTAATTCAGAAGCCAAGGTATTCTTTACACCATTGGCAATATATTTGGAAAGCTCATTCATTTATATTAAAGCAGAGCTGTTTACAACCCTAGGACTCATGAGCTGGAACCCTCCCACCCCCAAGACACATTGCTGGCAATATGCAAACATGTCTACCAGTCTTCATGTGATAATTTCAACTCATAAGTAATTCATTCAATCTCTAAATGTAGTAAAGAATTTGGGCCTTATGATTTAGAAGTACACTGTCCAATAAAGTTGCCAATAGTCACAGGAGGCTACTGAGCATCTTCAATGTGGTTAGTCTGAATTGAGATGTGATGTAAATGTATAATACATAATTTATAAAACTTAAATATAAAAAGAAAATATCTGATGTCTTAAATTGATTATATGACTCTCAATCAATTATATGATCCTATATTATTGAATATAATGTGGAAATGCAAATATTTTAAATATATCTGATTATATAAAATATATTACATCTTTGTAAAATGTTCCATCATAAATATGGACAAATGTTATGCAACTAGAATATAAGGCAAAAGAAAAAAATGGTAGCAGCTAAAGTTAGAGCAGTGAATAGTACACACTCTTTTTCTCCCTTAAATAAAAATTCAATGCAAGTTCAGACACAGCAACAAATATGGAGATATACTGAAACAATGCTATTTTTAAAAAGTGAGTGAAATCAGGGCTATCTTCTGGGCTTTTACATAGCCTACATACCTTCAGTAGACACTTCTTATCAAGTACAGTCAAGTATGTATTTGCTTGGATTAAATGAATATAAGTTTACATTACACTTTTGACTTTTAGGCAAATGCTTGAAATTAGGCTACATAGTGCTGACCAAGAGGTTTTGTGTTAATAAAGATTAGAGAAGATCAATAGAACATCAAGCTTGGACCCAAAGCATCAACCTTGAACTACATCTAGGTATCTGTTACATTGCAATCATACATCATTAAGGAAAGAGGTGCTCCTGAAATGCTTTTCTTCTAACCTTTGCAAGGCATATTAGCTCACGCCTATAATCCAAGCACTCTGGGAAGCTGAGGCGGGTGGGTCACCTGAGGTCAGGAGTTTGGGACCAGCCTGGCCAACATGGTGAAACCCTGACTGTATTAAACATCCAAAAATGAGCTGTGCGTGGTTGCACACACCTGTAGTCCCAGCTACTCAGGAAGCTGAGGCAGGAGAATCGCTTGAAACTGGGAGGCAGCGGTTGCAGTGAGTCGAGATTGCGCCACTGCACTCCAGGCTGGGAGACAGCGAGACTCTGTCTTGAAAAATAAATAAAAAAATAAATAAAATGCTTCTCTTACAACTTTTTAAAAATACATATTTATTTGGAAACCACTTTTTTTTTAATTCTTGAGTGAAAAAAAGGTAAATTTTAATTAAAGTCCCTATGTATATAACTTCCAATTTAATGTTTCAAATAATAGGAGTCAGTGGCAGAAGGTAAAAGGTACAGAAAAAGAATCTTAGATTTGAAAAAGTAAAGGCCAAGTAAAAGAAAGAGATGAAATAATGTCTATCCCTTTGACTGAAGGCAACAGCTCTGCAGCTGAACAATCAAATCCACCTCTCCTGCAACCAAGATATAATAAAAAAGAATCAGGGCTTCTAATTACTAATTTTGCTTCTTATATCCCAGTAAAAGGAGATGGGTACTACAGAGTTTCATTATTATTTTTTTACCATTAGAGTGTATTTCACGTTTAAAATGAGAAAAAACATCTTTGTGACACAGAGGGAAGCTGTGTGAATTTTCATAGCTGTTTCTAAGGTCTAATATATAAACAATTATCAATGATGCAGATTTTCAGGCAAAGACATTTAATATAAAAAGCAAACTATTTTCAGTTAACATTTACTATGCAGAACATTTACTCCATCTTGTGGAGGCAAAGGGTATAATTATTAAGGGTTTAAAAGCTCTGAAGACCTTCAAAAGTAGCAGGTTTAACAATCAACAAAAATTTGTGTGATTATAATTTATGACATCTCAGTTATAGTTTGTTCACAACCAGAAACTGCATTAAAATTAATGAATAGAATTAAGTCACTTTAAGTTGTACAGTTAATGATAACCAACCTCTTCAAAGACTGCCAACCTTTTATGTAAAGAGTAAACAAAAACAACTTTACCATCTACTTTCACCACCTTTAATTTTTAAAAGGATATTGTCACTTCAAATAGTAGAAATAAAAATTAGTATAAAGGCTAGTATAAAAACACATTTCATAGTCCTTTTTATTCTCATCTCATTCTCAAACAGTGAAAATGGTATCAAGGATTAGTATTATCCTTGTATGATTTTAGAGAATCTCTGCTCTAAGTTATGTTTCCCAATTTTCTCTTCTCACAATGGAGACCGAGTCTACTCTTTTTATGTTGCCATTATTTGTACATGCGTCTTACTGCCTGTATTGAAGCACCCTATACTTTAAATTTCCTCCATCCAGGGCAGTCAAGAGGGAGCCCAGGGACTCTTAAAGTTCAAGAATTAGAAAGGATCCCTAGACAATTAGGTGCTCTAGATAGCCTTCACACCACCACTGGCAGGTGTGAAGTGCCCATGATCTGTATGCTTATTAAGATGCTCGCCCCTTGCTCCCACCCAACAGTAAGGGTCCTACCAACCAAATATGATTTGAGACTACCGATAGTATCTCATTATGCCCATGAATCCCCATACAGCTCTTTAGCCTCCAACCCCACTTAGACCCCATCTCCTATTCTTACCCTACTCCCGAAATTCTGTTATCACTTCTGGAACTCATACTCAGGCATCAGCAAAATCTCCTGTTCCGAACATTCTCTCTAAACTTTCCCCTTTCTTTCATTGCTCTAATTGAACTCCAACTGGCTAACCCCTGCAGCCTTCTCAAAAGGGAACCTCACTGTTTTTTTTTTTCCTCTAACCTCTCACAGCTCATACCACTGGACCTGAGACTGGGATTAATTGTCTTACTTGCTGCTCCCAGACTCTTTACTTGCCCTCTTTCCTAAAACTATTCTAGCTTTGAAACTCTTGTCATCAGCCTGTAACCATGGTTCTCAATTGGGCAATTTTGCTCCTTTCTGCCACCTGGAATATGACTGGTGATGTGTGAAGACATTTTAGTTGTCACAACCAAGGGAGTTCTACTGGCACCTAGAGAGTCAAGGCCAGGAATGATGTTAAACATCCGACAATGCACAGGACAGCTCCCCCTACACCCCAACGAAGAACGATCCAGTCCAAAATGTCATTAATGCCAATATTGAGAAATCCTGGTTATACTGCTTCACTAATGCCACCTGCAGGACACTCGTCTCCTGCATCATTAACTTTGCTCTTTTGATCATGTCCATTAGTACACAAGCATATTGTAATTTCCCTCATTTAAAAATACTGTCTGGGCACAGTAGCTCATGCTTGTAATCTCAGCAATTTGGGAGGCTGAGGTGGGCAGATCACCTGAGGTCAGGAGTTTGAGACCACCTTGGCCAACATGGCAAAGCCCTGTCTCTACTAAAAATACAAAAATCAGCAGGGCATGGTGGCGCACATCTGTATTCCCAGCTACTTGGGAGGCTGAGGCAGAAGAATCACTTGGACCCAGGAGACAGAGGTTGCAGTGAGCCAATATCACACCACTGCACTCCAGCCTGGGTGACAGCGAGACTTTGTCTCCAAAAAAAAAAGTTCTGACCTCATATCCCCCTTCCAGAAATCCTTCCCTTTCTCGGCTCTCCTTTACAGGAAAACTTCACTCTCTTAAGTTCTCTTTCCAATCTCTCTTAAACCCACTTCAGTCAGTGTTTTGCCCCATATTATGAAAACTGTTTTTGCCAAAGTTCCTCATGACCTTGACATTGTCACAAGTAATGGTGACTTATTAGTCCTCAGTTGCTCTCCACTTCCTTTTTGAAACACGTAATTCACTAGCTTCAAAAAAACAACACAGATCTAGTTCTCATATCTCACTGGCTGCTCTTTATTCATCAACCTGACCTCTGAATGTTGAAGTGTCTCAGAGTTCAGTTCTCAGACCTCCTCTGTTTTCTATCTAGACTCATTCCCTTGGTGATCTCATCTTGTTTCTTGGCTTTAAATACCATCTATATATGGACTACCACTAAATTTATTTCCCTAAACCAGACTTTTTTTCCTGAACTCCAGACTTATGTAACTACCTACTTAAAATTTACATTTTCATATGTTAATGGGCACCTCACTTTACTGATTTTTTTTTTTTTTTGAGACAGGGGTCTTTACTCTGTTACCCAGGCTGGAGCATAGTGGTAATGATCACAGTTCATTGTAGCCTCAACCTGCTGTGGATCAAGCGATCCTCCCACCTCAGTCTTCTGAGTAGGTGTGCCACCACACCTCACTAATTTTTATTTTTTGTAAAGATGGTGTTTCCTTATGTTGGCAGGCTGGTCTTGAACTCCAGGGCCCAAGTGATCCTCCCGCCTCCCAAAGTGCTGAGATTACAGGTATTGGCCACCAAGCCTGGCTGGCATCTCACATTTAACATATCCAAAACTAAACATCTGAACTTCCCTGGGGAAACTGCTTCTTTCATCCCACTAAACAACAACATCTTGCCATTTACAAAAGCTAAAACCTTGGAGCCATCTTTGATGAATTCTGTCTCTCTCTTTCTCCGTCTAACTCCCACATCTAACTCATCAGCAAATCCTCTACTTTACAGTCAGTATAAAATCAGAGCCCTCAACATTTCTGTCCTGGTATAAGCTGCTATCATCTCAGCTAAGATAACTGCAATAGCCTCCTAACCAATCTCCTTCCCAAGGAGTCCATTTTCAATATAACAGCTAGAATGCCAGTCTTAAAATGAATACCAGAATCCCACGTGGTTCCCCATTTCCCTCAAGTTAAAATCAATATCTTTTCAATGTCCTTTATGTTGGGAACCAGACCAACCTCATATGTGGGTGCCCTTAGTCCCGTTGGCGATGCGGGATTGAGAAAAGGAAATAAAGACAGAGACACAAGAGTAGAATTTACAGCACGGGTCCAGGGGACAAACACAAGTGTGGAAAATGAGTTGGCCCGAGCTCTGGGCTCCAAACACTTTTATCATGTGCACAATCACATTGATCTTATGGGCATGGAAGGGGAAGTAAAGGAGTAGGTAAGATAGCCAGTGTGGGGAGAGCACTTGAGATCTTTCTAAAACATGCTAAACTAGTGCTCTGAGCATTTAACAGCACTTGAGATCCTTCTAAGACATGCTAAACTAGTACTCTGAGTTTACCACCAATTGTTATCAGGGTGAGGCTGCATCAGAAGTATAGCAGATGAGGAGCCACCTGGTCTGACCATACCCAATGCATCAAGGGGCTTTTATCTCCCAAGCATTGAGGATATACAGCAATTAGAATCACTCCATATTCCAAGAACCTAGGCAGAGCCTGAGGTGTTCCATGATCTCTGCCCTGCAAGGCTTTTCTCCTCCTTGCCAGCTCCCATCTGCGAAGACCCTCCCGAATCTAGTGAGCAGAGTTCGCCTCCCTTCTCAGAGATCTTTCCATAAGCCCTCTTTTCGAGGCCCTCATTCAGACTCCATGTTGAGAAGGCATTTGTGGGACCAGAGCAGTATTCCCTGCTCTGCAACCACCCTAAGGCGTTCCCCAGCGTTACTACTGCACTTTCGGATGGTCTTTACCTTAGGCCTCCTGTTGCTGCTTGATTTCTAATTAACTGCACCAATAATATAGTTTAGTTCAGTGTATAAACTTCAGTGTACTGTGAGCCAATCAAGGTTATAATTATTTAGGTAGAATTAACATAGGTCTCCCCTGGCCATCTTGACCCACACTTTACAATCAAGATATGATTATATACTATAATCCTTAGAGTCCTGTATTATATTGCTTCCTGGGTCCTGTTTAACCTTTTATCCTGCTACTCTTCCTGCCTCACTTCATTGTGGCCATCTGGCTGCCTTGCCATTTTTCAAACATACCAGGTATCCTTCTGCTTATGTTCTTTTCCATATAGCTATATAATTCATGACCTTACCTCCTTTAGATCTTTACTCAAATGTCACTTTATCAGTGCGGTCTTCCCTGTTTTAAAATTTCACTCTTGTTCACTATTTTCTACTTCACTGTCCTTCAGAAGCACTCCACCTTTTGAAATCCTGCAAGTTTTGTTTATTACCTGTTTTCCCTACTAGAATGTAAGGTCTAGAAAGACAGAAAGCTATTGTTTTTGTTACTGTTGAGGCCAGGGTTTAGCAATTGTGTTAAAGAGTAGGCACTCAAATATTGGTAGAACTGAATTCCTCCTTTCCAGCCTCTTGATCTCCTAAAACCGGCTTCCATGTTCTACTGCTCAGGGTTTAACTGAAGAGTCCCTTTGATTCTTCTTGCCTTCTCTACTGAATTAAAGTTGACTGCTATTACTTTGACACTCATCCTAGAGTCATGGCATAATTCTAAATCTGATTTATTTACATAAACACTTTAAAGCTAATATCCAGAGTTTAAAGAAATAAACCAAATCATCGATTGCATATCTTTCATTTCATTTCATTCATTCATTCATTTATTTATTTTTCAGACTAGGTCTTGCTCTGTCACCCACACTGGAGTGCAGTGGCACAATCTTGGCTCACTGCAACCTCTGCCTCCTGGGTTCAGGCAATTCTCAAGCCTAAGCCACCTGAGTAGTTGGGATTACAGGCGTGTGTCACCACACCCCCGCTAATTTTTGTATTTTTAGTAGAGATTGGGTTTTGCCATGTTGGCCAAGCTGGTCTCAAACTCCTGGCCTCATGTTAGCCGCCTGCCTTGACCTTCCAAAGTCCTGGGATTACAGGACTGACCCACTACACTCAGCCTTTAATTTCCTGCTTATATGACATATCTTTACAATCATGATATGATTATACAGTATAATCCCTAGAGTCCTGAGCTAGGAGTTAGTAAACTAGAGTGTTAGTTTTAACAAAGCCAATGATTTGAGTTCAAATATTTTAACTTCTATCTATCAAATAGAGACTATTCTGGCCCTATTACACAGTGTCTCATAGAGAAATTTGTGTACATATGTTCCTTCCATTGCCTTTGAAGATTGGAGCTGTTGTATTCACCTGTGTATGTCACATGCTAAACACAGTATTTAATAGCTAAATTTATACATGCATAAATACAAATTTTTGTTATAAGCATAAAATATGTGCAATTACTTGAGAAAACATGGTGTAACATAAAAAATATATATATATATATTTAAGCCATCAAATGAAGTTTAATTGATTCCCAGAGAAAAGGGAGAAATTATAGCTTTTCACCTAAGGAAGAACACTTTTATTTACTTATTCAGTTTGAAAATTAAAAGTTAAACAAGATAGTTCATTTTCTTCAATTGTTTTCTTTTCCTTCATGGCCAGAAATACCACTACTTTATCCTATATAAAGATCATAAATGAAACTTTAAACTTCAGTGCATCACTATTTTCAGCATCCAGGACCAGTACCATCATTTGTTTTGTTCATAGGTTTCCGTTCCATCCTTCCCATTTTTGTTTCTGTAGCCATGATGTTAATTTGAAATTAAGGGGAACACTGCATGTTACTATATTTCAGTAATAAGTGCTATATTTAGTCTCTTACCAGTACATCATGCACCAATGCTTGATATGTCCAAGTATGATGTAAAGGAGTTGCCAAATCTATGTTTCTGTCAACAAGGACTAATAAGGGCCTTTGGAAGCTGTAAATATATTTAAAAAAAAAAATTATGTAACTCTTGATACCAGTGTATACATCTAAAATATTCTAATACTTTCCAGTATATGCCATTTTGATATGAATAATAGTATGCTAATATTGACAATTTATAATACTTTGTTTTTTAGTATATGTGCTGTGGAAGCAAGCACCACAATACTTTGCTATTTGTTGAGACAGGGTCTTGCTCTGTCATCCAGGCTGGAGTGCAGTAGTGCAATCACAGCTAACTGCATCCTTGAACTCCTGGGCTCAAACAATCCTCCCACCTCAGCTTCTGGAGTAGCTGGAACTACAAGCATGCACCACCACACCTGGTTAATTTTTAAATATTTTTATAGAGATGGGGGAGGCTGGCTTTTTAAAAACAAATTAAACATGGTCATGCAATTACAGTAATGCTCTGGATGACTTAGAGCTTGTGTATGACGCCAAATTATAAATGTTACTTAGGAAACTTTTTTTTTTGAGACTCTGTCACCCAGGTTGGAGTGTAGTGGCACAATCACAGCTCACTGCAGCCTTCACCTCCCATGCTCAAGTAAGCCTCCCACCTCAGCCTCCCAATTAGCTGACACTACAGGTGTGCACCACCACTCTTGGCCAATTTTAAATTTCTTTGTAGAGACAGGGGTATCTAACTACATTGCCCAGTTTGGTCCTAGACTCCTAGGCTCAAGTGATCCTCCCACCTTGGCCTCCCAAAGTATTAGGATTATAGGCGTGAGGCATCATGCCTGGCCAGGAAATTTTCTTAAAGGAAAAAAAAATCTATATAAATATTTCTATAGAATAATTTTTGTAGTTAGCAAAATAGTAAGTTGCTTCTACTCAGATGTTTTTAATATTTTTGAAAAAGGCAATAAGGAATAGTTATTGTCAGCTTCAGTGAAAACAAAGAGAGTAGGAGCTTATAAATTTACACAAATATTTGACAGTTTCATAAATTTCATTTTTCTTCTATAAACACAAACTCAAAAAAGCAGACCCTGGACAAGAGCCTCAAAAAAACTCTATACCACTATAGTATACAAAATGAAAACATAATGCCATAATGGTACCTGATTATATTATTATTCCCTTAACAGAGAAGGCATATGACAACTCAGGTACTGTTTAACTCCATTATTACAATTTAGATGTGAAATAAACTACCACCGAAAGCAAACTGGGGCACAACGTTATTTGGTTACCATGCCTCTACAGAAGTTTTAGAGATCTGCTTTAGAGGCACTATCATATCAGGAGTACCCATCACTTTTCAAAAGGCATCACTATCTGATTATATATTTCCTTTTGCAATAGTATTTTGTAACTCATTACTCTCTTCTGGGTATAGGACAGTGGATTTTCTAACTGGACTGACTCTGGGATAAAAAGTCAGAGTGGCACCCTCACAATTTACTACGATTTATTACACCAGAGCTGGATGGAAAGTAAGGGAGGATGGCCTACTGCAGGGTTTCTTAATCCTAGCACTACAGACATTTGGGGCTGGATAATTCCTTATTATAGGGGGTTGTAGTGTGCATTACAGGATGTTTAGCAGCATCCTACAATGTACACTACAAGATTCTAGTAACACCTACCAGTTAAGACAATCAAACGCGTCTTTAGACAGTACCAAATGGCTACGAGAGGCAAAAACTGCCCTTTGTTAAAAATCACCAGCCTACGGTGAGATTCAAAAGTATTTAATAGTCCAGCAAAGTTGTGATCACTAATTAAAATAATTAAGAAATATACATCCAACAAGTTGAGAAATAAGATATTATGATAACGTGAACAAATTTAAAAAATTATCCAAATAAAACAGTGCCTTTATATTGGTTTCTAAGGCCTATACCAGAGCACTATAAAAAGGGAACTATTAAGTAAGGTATGACACAGTAGTTGGTTCTGCTAAAAAAAAAAAAAAAAAAAAAGATCGGGTGAGAAGTTGATGCTCTTCTTCTACCTAATAAGAAACATTTTAAAGAATATTTAAGACAAGCAATGAAATCATAGATCCATTTAAAATAATGTGGAAACTCAGACAGTTAACCAGACAATTAAAACACAGTTTTGGTGTGAACTCCAAATTACACAAGTAGTTTATAAGGCTGTAGGAGATACCAAATTGACTTGAAATGAAGTCTACTGAAGGTTATTATGAAATTATTATTCCTAGTGGGCAGTTATTTTTCTGGGCATCGACCTATTCTCACAGGCTTTATTTATTAATTCATCTAAACTGGGGTTAAGAATTAATTTTCCAGAATATCATCTCTTCCTCTTTAAACAACTCTCAGCCATTTGAGTGGGTTTCTTTACTTCTTTACTCCATTACTATTAACAATCAAAAGTTATACTATAATGTATAGGGTTTTTTAGTATTTCTATTTAATAATAAGCAGCCAAAAACTTTCACATTCCCTACTCATGCTAGAAATGCTAACAATAATAAAATGTTTTGCAAGTTTAGGCTATTAGTATTTCAGTATAAAATGGAAATTAGGTTAATAAAGGTAGAAACAGATATAAATATCGCCAGTTTTTCTCTCTGTGAAAAATTACCAAGCTGTTTAAGGATAACTGAAAGAAAGCCTTGGCTTCCAACCTTCAAAGCCTTATACACAGAAAAATTTCTCTTACATATAAAATGCTTAGAAATTTCTATCAAAAGAAGGTAAATTGAATAAAATATTCCGTTTGTATTTTAAGAACAATTTGAGTCAAAACCCTGATCCTGAGTAGCTCATTAAAAAGAAACAAATTTCAATTACAAGGATAAGATAAAAGTAGTCTATCAGCCAAGAAAAAAACAAAAAAAAAAAACTACAAATATTTTTAAGTCTTATAAGTATATTTACTAACAGTAATACCTGAATTGGCCAGCTCCAAGTGTATCACCTGTAAAAAGACTGTTTCTTGCATCTCTTAGATTTTCTCGAAGTTTCTTGTCTAGTTTCTAAAAAATAAAATTTTACATGAACTCTTAAAGAACAGTTTCATGTAACTCTATGGAGGTTAATTCATAATGGGTTTTTCGTTTCACAACAAAGAAACCTGGAATTTATTTACAAATAGCCAAACTAAAATCTAAATGTTTTAGCCCCTTCTTATCACTTTGATATCATCATAACGTGGACTTAAAAAAGATCAGTACCTTTTCTACTGTGACTCAGGCCTTATTTCACTAATAAGTACTTTTTGTTGACTAATTTTACTTTGGCATGGGAAATGCTTTGCAGTAATGACCCACACTTTTCTCCCAAGCATGACTGTTTTACCAACAAAGATGTCTATATGGAGAAAATGTTGACTTGGGTGGGCAGGAGTGAACAAAGTAGTGGGGGTACAAGAAGCCTCAAAAGAAAAATGGAACATGTGAAAGAAAGCAGTCTTCCACCAGTCAGTAATTCACTTGGGCTAATAAAGCTCCAAAATACCCCCTTCTTTTTTAGTGATGCTATAATTTCTCTAATCCCTTACTCATTTTTTAATCTTTAAAGCAAATTTATGAATACTTACTTTATACTCAGTATTTTACTTCAGTATAGTGGGACAGCAAAAAGCACTTCATTTAAAAAATGGCTATGATTAGTAATAAATATTTGCTAAATGAAGTTAAATGTTAACTAATCTGGGGGATCATATAAGTGTAAAATACTCCTTGGACAGACAAGGTTAAATGAGGAATATACATTGTAGTTAAAAAAAAATAGGACTGGAAAAGCACACTGGCGTAAATAATTTTACTTCCCCACGTGAAAATAAACAATACTTACTTTTTATATTTGGTGGAATCTCAATGTAATAAAAGAAAAATATTTGCTATTGGTACTTACAACCAAGCAATTATAAATTTAAATATTAACAAAACACCTGCATTACTTGTGGGAAAACAATTCATACAAAGTTATTTATCTCCACATGATATCTGCATGAACTTACCACTGCTACCATTTCTGCTGCTGTTCCTCTTGAACATCTGATTATAGGAACAGCACCTATTTTAACAATAAATGTTAGAAATGATCTTGGCTCTTAATTAAAATAGATACTTATAAAATACATCAGCATCAAAAATAACAGATAACGATAGATGTATACAATTTCACATTATACACATAAAATAATTTTATTTTTCCACTTTTAATTAAAAAAATTAAGGAATATATTTAGGAGGTACAAGTACAGGTTTCTTGCATGCGTATATTGCATAGTGGTGAAGTCTGGGCTTTTAGTGCACCCATCACCCAAAGAGTGAACACTGTACTCAAAAGGTAATTTTTCAACCCTCCCTCTTCCCCACAAGCACACATAAAAGGATTTATAATTTCAAGAGTAAAAGCAAGTTTCAGAAATGAACCTTCTCATTAATAAAGAAAACAATAGAAGTCAAAAGAAAACTACTTTATATGGAGCTGACCCATCACTGTGACTGTATTTTTTTCAATGGATTGATTAAATCAGTACTTTGATCCCCTACAGGCAGTTTCTTTCTTTCTTCTTGTGTTTTATTTTAGGATGAGGTGTCACCCTGTCACCCAGGCTAGCAGGCTGGAGTGTGGTGGTACAATCATGGCTTGCTGCAGCGTTGACCTGCTGGGCTCAAGCCATCCTCCCACCTCAGCCTCCTGAGTAGCTAGGACTACAGGCACATGCCATCAAGCCTGGCTAATTTGGCAAAGCTCTGCCTCTACAAAAATTACAAAAAATTAGCTGGGCATGGTGGTACGTGACTGTGGTCCCAGCTATTCAAAAGGCTGAGGTGGGAAAATCACGTGAGCTCTGGAAATCTGAGGCTGCAGTGAGTCATGATCACACTACTGCACTCCAGCCTGGTCATCATAGTGAGACTCTATGTCAGAAATTTTTTTTTTTTTTTGTAGACAAGGTTTAACTATGCTGTCCAAGCTGGTCTGAGCTCAAGTGATCCTGCTACTACCTCAACCTCCCAAAGTACTGGGATAACAGGTGTGAGCCTCTGCATCTGGCCTAAGCAGTTTCAATATATAAGCTTACTCTACTCACAGGACTAACTTTAATTTGACTTAAAAGAAAAGAATGAAAAGAGCTTAGCTAATTTAGCAGTATGGGGACTGCTAGTTTTTATCTTATGAATTAACAATAAAGAACTGTAGTCTTTTTTAAAAAAATACTCATTTAAATAAAAGAAAACACATTCTTCACATAGGTTGAAATCCTAAATAGAAAAAAAGTCCAACTGCACTGAAAGTCTCATAAGACAAACTGAGAACACTGTAATATTTATATGCTGAAACTGCTGCATTTTAGATTCTATAGGAAATATGAATATACTCAGTCAACTGCAAAAGTAAAAACACAAAATAGCAAATTTTTCGTAACTGTGTTTTCTTCTGATGGCAAAAGTTATAAATGTTTGTAATAAAAAATTTAAATAAAATTAGAAATGTATAAACTTAATCCTCTTGATTCCAGCCCTCACGAATAACCCTCATTAGAATTAGGAATGGATGCTTTCATGTTGTTTTCTACATATAGTCTAATAACTGTGTGTGTATATATAAAAAACAAAAATAAGGTAGTATATATACTGTTCTAAAATTGTTTTTCCCCATGTAACAATTTAGTGTTGACATCCTTCTATGTCAGATTGGCAGTATTTCAATTTCTCCTTTGAAAAAAAAAATCACTGGCCGGGTGCAGTGGCTCATGCCTGTAATCCCACTGCTTTGGGAGGCAGGCTCAGGTGGGTGGATCATCTGAGGTCAGGAGTTTGAGACCAGCTTGGCCAACATGGTAAAACCCCATCTCTACTAAAAATATAAAAATTAGCCAGGCATGCTCTAGCATACCTGTAATCCCAGCTACTTGGAAGGCTGAGGCAGGAGAATTGCTTGAACCCGGAAGGTGAAGGTTGTAGTAAGCTGAGATTGCGCCATTGCACTCCAGACTGGGCAACAAGAACAAAACTCCATTTCAAAAAAAATAAAATAAAGAAAAAAAATCACTTTCAGATGGTCTATACATTATAAAGGTAGCTCTAACACTTCAGTGGTCTTTATATGTCTCTTTTTCAATCTACCTTTGCTTTGAAAATATAACTATCACCAATCAAAAATAACCTTAAATTGTCCACCACCCTAGCATTTGGCAAAATTTTGCAGACTGTGTGGTGTGACAAAATAGAAAATTATGTCTAACACTGAAAGTTGTATACATGTGCTTTATTAAAAAAAAAAAAAAAACAACAACAACCCATGTGAGGGCAATGAAAGCAGTTCAAAGCAGGCAGAAACTGGAGAGGTTAACTCTTGAAAGAAGAGAATCACATAAGGTAAGATATATTTTTAACCAGTTTTTCTTCTGTGAGTACTTGACACATTACATGGCACATAAGAGAAAGAACTCAAGCAGAAAACAGGAAAATTACTGAGCTGAAGAATCAAAGACTGGAGCTCAGGGCTAGAAATTAAGTGAAAAAAATCCCTAAAAGGAGGGAGCCATACAATTTGCATCTGAATTCTCTATACGTCTAAACATTTGTGCAAATCTTAGACTATACATGGTAGCTCTTTCTTAATTTTTTTTATAATGTAGAGATTTTATTAATCTAATGTGAAGAACATTTTAACAAAAAGGTTTTAAGTGTTTAAAAAAATTAAAATTGCAACTAGCCTTCTAAACTGATCCATTACTAATAGTAAAACACAAAATCATATATTAGACATGAAACAGAAGTTAACTCTAAGTAATTTTAGATGATCTAACATTTTGAATCAAGAAAACTGGAAGTTGTTTCTTTGAAAGAATAAACAAGATAGGTAGACCACTAGAGTCAGGTCAACAAAGAAAAAAAGAGGGACAATCCAAATAAACACAACGAGAAATGTCAAGGGTAACTTACCACCGACCCCACAGAAATATTAAGAAACCCTCAGAGACTACCAACACCTCTATGCACACAAACTAGAAAACTTAAACGAATAAATTTCTGGCAACATACAACCTGCCAGGACTTAAGGAAGAAACTGAGGTCCTGGAATAACAAATTCCAAAACTAAACCAGTAATAAAAAACCTACAAACCAGAAAAAGCCCTGGACCAGATGGATTCACAGCCAAATTCTAACAGATGTACAAAAAAGAGCTGGTATTAATACTACTGACATTATTCCAAGAAATTGAGGAGGAGGGACTTCCCATTCACAATAGCCTCAAAAAGAATAAAATACCTAGGAATACAGCTAATTAGAGAAGTAAAAGAGTTCTACAACAAGAATTACAAAACACTGCTGAAAGAAATCAGAGATGACACATATGGAGGAACATTCCATGTTCATGGATAAGAAAAATCAATATTAAAAGTGCCATACTGCCAAAGTAATTTACAAATTAAGTGCTATTCCTATCAAACTACCAATGTCATTTTTCACAGAATTAGAAAAAACTATTCTAAAAGTCACAGAGAATCAAAAAAAACCTGAATAGCCAAAGCAATCCTAAGCAAAAAGAACAAAGCTGGGAGCATTACACAACCTGACTTCAAAGTATACTACTACACAGCTTTTACTACAGTAACCAAAACAGCATGGTGCAAAAACAGATACACAGACCAATGGAACTGGTTGGAGAACCCCGAAATAAAGCCACACACCTACAACCATCTGATCTTCGACAACGTTCACAACAACAAGCAATAGAAAAAGAACTCCCTATTCAGCAAGCAGTGCTGGGATAACTGGTCAGCTATACGCAAAAGATTAAAACTGGACCCCTTCCTTTCACTGTATACAAAAACCAACTCAAAATGAACTAAACACTTAAATGTAAGACCTAAAATTATAAAAATCCTACAAGAAAACCTAGATACCATTCTGAACACAGGCCTTGGCAAAGATTTCATGCTAAGTTTCCAAAAATAATCACCAGAAAAACAAAAACAGGCAAATGGGACCTAATTAAACCTAAAGGCTTCTGCACAGCAAAAGAAACTATCAGCAAAGTGAATGGAAAACCTACAGAATGGGAGAAAGTATTTGCAAACTATGCATCCAACAAAAGTCTAATATATGGAATTTATAAGAAACTTAAATCAATAAGCAAAAACAAACAACCCCATTAAACACTGGGCAAAGGACATGAACAGACACTTCTCAGGAAAAAAAAAAAAAAAAAAAGGATATATGTGGCCAGCAAGCATATGAAAAGATGCTCAACATCACTAATCATTAGAGAAATGAAAATCAAAACTACAATGAGATACCATCACACACCAGTCAGAATGTCTATTATTAAAAAGTCAAAAAATAACAGATGCTGGTTAAGTTGCAGAGGAAACGGAACACTTATACACTGTTGGTGGGAATGTAAATTAGTTCAACCACTATGGAAAGCAGTTTGAAGATTTCTCAAAGAACTTACAACAGAACTACCATTAAACTCAGCAATCCCATTACTGGGTATATAGCCAAAGGAATATAAATCATTCTACCAAAAAGACACATTCACCCATATATTCATTGCAGTAATATTCACAATAGCAAAGACATGGAATCAATCTAGATGCCTATCAAGGGTAGAATGGATAAAGAATTTGTGATACACATACATCATGGAATATACAGAGTCATAAAAAAATGAAATCATATGCTTTGCAGCAACACTGATGCAGCTGGAGGCCATTATTCTAAGGGAATTAACAGGAACAGAAAACAAAATACCCCATGTTCTCACTCGTAAGTGGGAGCTAAACAAAAAGAAAAGACACAAAGATTAAAACAGCATATACTGGGGCCTACATGAGTGGAGAGGATGAGGGTCAAAAAACTACCTATCAGGAAACATGCCCATGACCTGGGCGACGAATTCATTTGTACACCAAACCCCAGTGATACACAATTTACACATGTAACAAACCTGCACATGTAACCCCCGAACCTAAAAGTTGACAATAAGGAAAACAAGATTAAAAATGAAATTTGAAAGTTTAGGTAGATCAGTATATATACAGAGTTATGTTTTCTGGAGCCTTGGGTATCTGAACTTAATAGTTATCTAACATTTATCTATTTAGAAGTGCGTTTAAAATTTTTCATAATATTAAAAGAAAATTAACAGGCACATAGGTGAAGTCACCACCAAATCATTCAAATAGTATATTAGGAAATTATGATTACCAAAGTCATCTAAAATGACAACTCAATAGATCTGTTAAATGTTAACTCAAGAGAACCACATCAAGTTATTAGAAAAATGGTTTTTCCATACTGCTGAATATATATTTTACTCCACTAGAGAGCCTCTAGAGATCCAGGTGAGAAAGAATCACATTACAGTATAATACATTAAAATGACTTGTTAAATTATTGATTTACTTTGAAGACTAACCAGAAAGACTGGAAAACTTACCCAGAGTAACAAAAAAGCAGAAGAGGCTGTCAACTATAGTGTCCATAACAGTTTCCATTTCTGTATCTGTGATATCTGGCCTGTTAATGGCTAAAATGACATAGGGAAAGGAGAAAATGTTGACCCAAACTTATGCCTTATCTTTATGAAACTCCTAAAATTATTACCAAACTCTTAATTGATATACAATAAAACTCAGCAAGTGAATTTTTTTTTTTTCTGAGAAAGGATCTTGCTCTGTCATCCAGGAGGGAGTACAGAGGCATATTCAAAGCTTACTGCAGCCTCAACCTCTTGGGCTCAAACAATCCTCCCATCTCAGCCTTCAGAGTAGCTGGGACCACAGGCACATGCCACCATGCCCTGCTAATTAAAAGAAATTTTTTTATAGAGATGGGTCTCCCTATGTTGCCCAGGCTGGTCTTAAACTCCTAAGCTCAAGCCATCCTCCTACCTTGGCCTCCCAAAGGGCTGAGATTATAGGCATGAGCCACTACACCCTGCCTGCTTTAAACTTCTTTTAAGTGAAAGAATATCTGTTAAAAATTATACCACCTCAAAGAGTTTAAAAAAAGAAAAAACAACAAACTACCCTAATATCAGATACTAGGAGACTACTAGTAAGAAAAACAACCCCACAATGTAAACTTACAAAATTTTTGCCACAGGAAACAGGAAAATAAATATCATATTCCATAGTTTTATTATAAACTCTAGATGGCCTTAAGAAACTATTGATTCTGTTACCCAACTATTGCCAGAAAACGAATGCAAATCAATTATGGCAAAACCAACATCACATATCATTTTCCTTATATTAAGTTATATAATTTCTTTTCCAATCTACAAGAGTGTACATAAGTAGTTACCAAATTTTATTGACTATAAGAATCACCCACGGATATGCAGAAAAATTCTCTGGAAGTTTTTAAAAATTAAAGATTCTTATCCCTTTCCTTTAGGAATTCTGTATGGATAAAAATTCTAAAAAACCTATAATTTTGATGCTGGGCACAGTGGCTCATGCCTGTAATCCTAGTACTTTGGGAGGCAGAGGCAGGCGGATCACCTGAGGTCAGGAATTTGAGACTAGCCTGGCCATCATGGTGAAACTCAGTCTCTACTGAAAATATAAAAATTAGCCAGGTGTGGTAACACACACCTATAATCCCAGTTACTCAGGAGGCTGAAGCAGGAGAATTGTTTGAACCCGGGAGACAGAGGTTTCAGTGAGCTGAGATCATGCCACCGCACTCTAGCCTGAGCGACAGAGTAAGACTGTGTCTCCAAAAAAAAAAAAAAAAAAAAAAAAAAAAAAGAAAAAAAACCCCCTATAATTTTGACAAGTACCTCAGGCAATTCTAATGCAAATAGGCCTTCGGGCCTGCACTTTAAGAAACATTTCTGTGAAGACTGTTTTTGACAAAGATATTGACTTACTTATATTCCTCTCTCACAATATCAAGCCAGTGTCTGATAAAGTCGATCAATAACTATATGTTGAAAGACTGTCTAAACTATTATCTACAAAGTATTTTTTAATGTCCCAATATACTGAAAGTGAAAACACATGTAAAATTTAATACCACTTGTGGAGCATAAGAATGCAAATTCAACAGGATATCTCGAAGTATCTAAAGAAAGTGTGGTCCACCCAGATTAACACACAAATAATAAAAGAATTCGATCAGGCTACACAGAATCCAGAAGAAGGGAATGGGCTATTACTCCGATGTTGCAAATACCATCTATCTCAATCAGATGAAAGAAATCAAAGGACACAATCTGCATCATGTACATTCTGGGGATGTCAATTGAAGGAAACATACCAAATTCATTTAATTAATTGGTGGCACAAGTGATTTGTAGACACTTCATACCTTTTAGTTAAAGGTATAGTATATTTTTGTTAATAACCGGCACTAGAAAAATCTACATGGAAGCATCCAGCCCTTGAGTCCTATACCCTAGGTTTCACATCTGTGAATGAAAAATAACCCTAACAGTCATAAATTGCTAATCGATAACTTCAACTTGAGATAACAGCTTCTTTGTCTGAGATAGCAGCCTTAGTTTGACTGTGATAATAAATCTGCTTGCTCCCAATCCATGGAAAGTTTAGAATAAAAAAGATTTGCAAATCAATACCATGGTATTAATATGATCATGTTTAGGAATATTTAAAATTTTTAAAGCACTTGCAACATTTGAGACAATTAGGCATATAATTACATAATGATAAAGAATGTTATCGGCCGGGCGCGGTGGCTCAAGCCTGTAATCCCAGCACTTTGGGAGGCCGAGGCGGGTGGATCACGAGTTCAAGAGATCGAGACCATCCTGGTCAACACGGTGAAACCCCGTCTCTACTAAAAAACTACAAAAAATTAGCTGGGCATGGTGGCGCATGCCTGTAATCCCAGCTACTCAGGAGGCTGAGGCAGGAGAATTGTCTGAACCCAGGAGGTGGAGGTTGCGGTGAGCCGAGATCGCGCCATTGCACTCCAGCCTGGGTAACAAGAGCGAAACTCCGTCTCAAAAAAAAAAAAGAATGTTATCTCTGGAGTGAAACTGCCTGTGTTTAGTCACCTGGCTTTACCATTTCCTCATCAAGTTACATAATAGCTCTGTCTCTATTTTCTCATCTTGAAAATGGAACTAATTTCTACTTCATAAAGTTATTCTGAGGAGTAAATTAACTTATATTATAATGTGCTTAAATTAAAACACTGACTGGCATAGAGCAAGCTATGACTATTATCATCACTGAGAATCTGGGTGATTAGCCATGTGATTACACTTTAAAATTTGTAATTAATCTCAAACGTGTTCTTTATAAGAAGCTGGGAGGTATAAAAAATGTAATTAAACTTATACGTAGATGAATATTTAACAAATTTTACACTCATTACAAATTTAATTATTTTTAAAGAATTATTTAACTACTTGGGTAGGTTTTGCTTGTTAGAATTATAAACTTGTCTGGTCTGGTATATGAAGTACAGTACCAAAAAAAAAACCCACTTGATATTCTGAATTTATTAATAAAATTTAAAATGTTTAAGGGAATTTTACACACTAAGTTTTCTGATTAAGCTTGTTAAATGGGACTGATTAGGAGACTTTAGTCTGTTCAATATGAGTTAATCCATCAAGAATAAAGATGCTTGTTTTTACTTTACCAGACTTATAAACAATATAACAAAATTCATATTCAATTTAAAAAGGCTAAAGGAAAACTAGACTTTAAAACATGTAACTTAAATAAGCTGCCAATTCATTTAAAATGCAACTGTAAATAGATTTCTGTGAATAATAGCCATTGTCAGCCGGGCGCAGTGGCTCACACCTGTAATCCCAGCACTTTGGGAGGCTGAGGCGGGTGGATCACAAGGTCAAGAGATCGAGACCATCCTGGTCAACATGGTGAAACCCCGTCTCTACTAAAAATACAAAAAATTAGCTGGGCATGGTGGCGCGTGCCTGTAGTCCCGGCTGAGGCAGAATTGCCTGAACCCAGGAGGCGGAGGTTGCAGTGAGCCAAGATCGTGCCATTGCACTCCAGCCTGGGTAACAAGAGCGAAACTCCGTCTCAACTAATCTAAAAAAATGAAAAAAAATAGCCATTGTCAAAAATCTCTCACATGAACAACTCAGCAAATACTTATACCCTTTTAGGAATTTCCACAAGAACACATACTCTAGAGCTCAATGAAACCAAAAGATTCATTCTCTTCTCTCAGGGAGCTTATTAGCTGATTCCAGTGTTTTACAAGCACAGTGAAGTAAGCTAACTTGTTCTTGTCCAAGAACAACGTATTAGATCATTAATTTGAATTCTGCTACTAAAATATTGTCTTGCCATGAGTGAACCATTCACACAGGTTTCTCCAAGGGCTTTCAAAAAGTTTTCTCCATGTGCTTTTAAAAAGTTTCTATAGCTCTACTGCTATAAATGAGATGGTTTTAGAGTCCATTAAACATATTCCCTTTTTTTCTTACAGTATACCATTCATTTTGTTAACAATGAATTGCAACATTTCTATTTTTACATACCACGATATGAAACAAGCTCCTTATTTTGATTACATAATACAAACATATCATCTTCCAAAGTAATAAAGTTGAGATACTGGTCAAAAACCTAGAAAGAAAAGATAAGGTTTACAAATCAATCTTACAATATAGCCATATTGAAAGTAAATTTAGTTTGGTCTAATCTAAAAAAATGAAAAAAAAAAAAAAAAAGAAAAAAAAAGAAAAAAAATCATAGTTATTGAAATATTCAATAAGTAAAAAATGTCCTGTGTAACAACCTAATTGAGCAAGAATGAGGAGCCTTTGGGCAATAAATATGAAGGAGGAGAGTAAGATTTTCAGAAAACGAAATTGAAGTAGATATAAGAAATTGTGTTTGGGATGGGAATAGATATCAATTTCGAAGAAAACATAGAATTTTAACAATCATTTTCATTACATTTTCCCAAGAAAGTTACAGTAATTATTTTACACAAAGAACTTTTATAATAAAGTGGGGAAAAGCTTTGCCAGTTCTTTGGAAATACAGAGTAGGAGAAAAAATAAGAGAACTATTTGAAATATACTGAATTTAGCTAACCAAATTAAGGCTAGATGAGGTGGTTTGCACCTGTAATCCCAGAGCTTTTGGAGTCCTTCCGTAGGAGGACTGCCTGAGGCCAGTAACTTGAGACCAGGGCAGCATAAAAAAAAATTAGCTGGGTGGAATGGCACAAACCCAGGAGTTGAAGGCTGCAGTAAGCAGTGATAGCACCAGTGCATTCTAGCCTGGGTAACAGAGTGAGACACTGTCTCAAAACAATACAAGAAAACAAAAATTGTTCCCATTATTTTATGTGAAGTTAATAAATTTTGAGCACAAACATTAAAGGCTTAAGTCTCAAAAACTAAACATAAATATTAGTGGTCTGTTTAAATCTAAAAACGAAAAATCAATAAAAAAATAGAAAGTATATGCATAGTTGTTTAGTCTTTTATTTGCCCTAGATAGTACTCTGGAATTTATATGCATATCTTGCTTAAATTCAAGAAACACAGAGCATAACAGGATTATAACCAGAAATATATTTTACAAATTGATTTATAACTGAAGCTGAACCTGACTAAAAAGTTACTATGATGTACAATTGCTGGCCTGAGTGAATTCTTTTTCTCTTAATATGCAACAGAGGCACTTGGATCTCAATATGCAACATGGGCACTTTGGATCCTCTGGATCCTCTTTCCCAAGTAAAAAAAGATCTGGAAGGCCAGGCACAGTGGCTCACACCTGTAATCCCAGCACTTTTGGAGGCAGAGGCGGGTGGATCATAAGGTCAGGAGTTCAAGACCAGCCTGGCCAAGATGGTGAAACCCCATCTCTACTAAAAATACAAAAATTAGCCGGCATGGTGGCAGACACCTATAATCCCAGCTACTCAGGAGGTTGAGACAGGGAATCGCTTGAACACGGTGGGCGAAGGCTGTAGTGAGCCAAGACCACACCACTGTACTCCAGCCTGGGCAACAGAATGAGACTCTTCTCAAAAAAAAAAAAAAAAAAAAAAAAAAGACACGGAAATAGTATGATGATTATAATAATTACAGATAAAACAATGTCAACATACTTTCAATACAGTTTATGACAATACAACTGTCAAATTATTTCTGAGTTGACCTAAAAAGATTATACAAATACCAGACTAAAAACTCATTCTCCTTTTTATTTCTGTCTTTCAAATCATTAAATAGTAAGTTCCTTTAGTTTTGTTTATTTCTCCCAGTTCAAGTTGAAGACAATTTATATTACTAGAACTCAAAAGTATTGAGCCTAAACATTTCTTGGGTCGTTCTGGTCATCTGTCAATTAGATATCTATGCCAACTACAGGTTTCAGAACACTGTTATATTTTACACTGATAAAATGTCATCAACCAACCAAAATCTCTTACCTTGGCTACTTGTGTTACTGCACTAGCTGCTAATGCTGCATTTGCAATATCTTCCAGTTTACTTCTTGAAATAGCAGAAATAAAATTTAAATAATATGATTCATATAGTTGATTTCGAAGATCCTATCAATACAATGAAAACTTATTCTTACAGGATAGTATAAAGAAGACCATGAATACATATGTTTCAAATACTATAAGAACAAAGTTACATTTAAAAGACAGGATTTTTAAATGACAATCAAAAAACGCATCCCAAGAGAAAAAAGCTTTGAAGAAGTATTGGCTATCTGGTTATCAGATGTAACTAAAATGTATCTTAATAAAGTTATAAAATTATAATTATATTATCAACAAAATCTCATTAATTACAATATAGTACAAAACTGCTTTAATACAGCATATCTGCAGTCTTCTTAAAATATCCAGATATGGCTCACTAATATGGTAAAACACTTGTTATATTTGGCAGACATGACCTTCAACTGTTTTGTGATGTGATGACACAACAAATCCTTCATTGTACACAAATTATAATTCCAATTACCAATCCTAAAAGTATTTCTTCTCAACTGCTCAAAAGTAGTGCAATTTAAGTTATGCAAATTATTGAGTCAAATTTACTTATCTTCTTATACTTTTAGCAAATATATATCAAAATAACTGTATTTCCTCAAATCTAAGATGTCACCGACTGTAACAGGCACCATCACTTTATGTAACACTAAGAATTAATGATGCCAATACAATTTTGTGACATATGGATCAATTTTAAGATGTACCTAATTTCAGAGATGTTAAAATGTGAAAAACTGAGGGGTTGTAGCCTTTGTGAGGAAGGTGGTAAGAGCTGTGGTTCAATCAAGGGCAAGAGATTATGCATACGGATTGAGAAATAAGTAATATGTTCAGGATACTGGGAACCATGTTTCTCACTCTGAGAAAGGAGTTACAAAATTTGTAAAGAGAAAAGGGAAATGCTAGAGTGAGTCCTGTGTTGCTGAGCTGAAATAGTTTTGGAGGTTATCTATTTATTTGGATAGGTGGGGAGAAGACAGGGAGAAATGTAGAAATAAATATAGACATAAAAGTGTATGTACAAATACATACATATGTTTCCTAGGTTTTCCCATTGAGAGGACCTAAGAAGACTGACACTCGAGTCACAATGAGTGTACCTAATGCCCAGATTCTGATTCCTAAATACCATTCTTTACAGGAAGCAACCAGGGCTCCTTAGACAAATGTCTGAATCCTGGACTGGGACAGAGAAAGTAAAATACTAGGCTATATTGGAACATCTTATTGTGCCAGAAAGTAAGAAAGTTGTTAAGGAATGATGCATACATTTCAAAAGGACACATAAGTTCAGCAAGGTTGCAGGATACAAGATAAATATATAAAAATCAATTGAATTTTCACACAATTGCAATGAATAATCCTAAAAATGGAATTAAGAATTCCATTCATAATAGCATTAAACACAATAAAGAATAAATTTAACAAAAGAAGCACAAAACTTATGACAAGTTAATCTTAAATTTACTTGTAAATTCAAGGTACCCAGAAAGACAAAACAATCTGAAAAAGAAGTACAAAGTTGGAGGACTCATTTTCTCAATTTCAAAACTTGCTATCAAGCAAGAGAAATTAAGGCTGTGTGGTACAGGCATAAGGACAGACATAGATATCAATGCAATAGAACTAGAGGAGCAAGGTTAAAAAACCTCAAAAGCTAGCACACAAGAAATAACTAAGATCAGAGCAGAATCAAAGAGATAGAGACAAAAAAAATCCTTCAAAAAAAAAAAAATCAGTAAATCCAACAAAATAGACAGACAGCTAGCCAGATTAATAAAAAAGAAAAGAGAGAAGAATCAAATAGATGCAATAAAAAAATGATAAAGGGGATATCACCACCGATTCCACAGAAATACAAACTACCATCAGAGATTACTACAAACAACTCTACGCACATAAACCAGTAAACCTGGAAGAAATGGATAAATTCCTGGATACTTGCACCCTCCCAAGCCCAAACCAGGAAGAAGCTGAAACCCTGAATAAACCAATAACAAGGGCTGAAGTTCAAAAAAAGCGTAGGTCCAGATGGGTTCACAGGAGAATTCTACCAGATGTACAAAGAGGAGCTGGTAGCACTCCTTCTGAAACTATTCCAAACAATACAAAAAGAGAATCCTTCCCAACTCATTTTATGAGACCAACATCATCCTGATACCAAAACCTGGCAGAGACTCAACAAGAAAAGAAAACATCAGGCCAATATCCATATTGAACATCGATGCAAAAATCTTCAACAAAATACTGGCAAACCAATTCCAACAGTACATTAAAAAGCTTATCCATCACGATCAAGTAGGCTTCATCCTGGGGACGATGCAAGGCTGGTCCAACATACTCAAGTCTATAAACGTAATCCACCACATAACAGAACCAAAGACAAAAACCCATGATTATCTCAATAGATGCAGAGAAGGCCTTCAACAAAATTCATCAGCCCTTCATGCTAAAAACTCTCAATAAACTAGGTATAGATGGAACATATTTCAAAACAATAAAGCCATTTACGACAAACCTACAGCCAATATCATAGTGAATGGGCAAAACCTGGAAGCATTCCCTTTGAAATCTGGCACTAGACAAGGATGCCCTCTCTCGCCACTCCTATTCAGTATAGTATTGGAAGTTCTAGCAACAGCAATTAGGCAAGAAAAAGAAATAATGGGTATTCAATTAGGAAAGGAGGAAGTCAAACTGTCTCTATTTGCAGACGACATGATTGTATATTTAGAAGACCCCATTGTGTCAGCCCCAAATCTCCTGAAACTGATAAGCAACTTCAGCAAAGTCTCAGGATACAAAATCAATGTGCAAAAATCACAAGCATTCCTATACACCAATAACAGACTAAAAGAGAGCCAAATCAAGAACAAACTGCCATTCACAATTGCTACAAAGAGAATAAAATACCTAGGAATATAACTAACAAAGGATGTGAAGGACCTGTTCAAGGAGAACTACAAACCACTGCTCAAGGAAATAAGAGAGGACAGAAACAGATGGAAAAACATTCCATGCTCATGGTTAGGAAGAATCAATATTGTGAAAATGGCCATACTGCCCAAAGTAATTTATAGATTCAATGCTATCCCCATCAAGCTAACTATGACCCTCCTCAAAGAACTGGAAAAATCCACCTTAAACTTCATATGGAACCAAAAGAGAGCCTGCATAGCCAAGACAATTCTAAGCAAAAAGAACAAAGCTGGAGGCATCACGCTACCTGACTTAAAACTATACTATAAGGCTAAACTAATCAAAACAGCATGGTACTGGTATCAAAGCAGTGACATAGACCAATTGAACAGAACAGAGGCCTTGGAGGCAACGCCACACATCTATAACCATCTGATCTTTGAGAAGCCTGACAAAAACAAGCAATGGGGAAAGGATTCCCTGTTTAATAAATGGTGCTGGGAAAACTGGCTAGCCATGTGCAGAAGGCAGAAACTGGACCCCTTCCTGACACCTTACACTAAAATTAACTACAGATGGATTAAAGACTTAAACATAAGACCTAACACCATAAAAACCCTAGAAGAAAACCTAGGCAAAACCATTCAGGACATAGGCATAGGCAAGGACTTCATGACTAAAATACCAAAAGCTTTAGCGACAAAAGCCAAAATAGACAAATGGGACCTAATTAAACTCCAGAGCTTCTGTATAGCAAAAGAAAAAATCATTAGAGTGAACTGGCAACCAACACAATGGGAAAAAATTTTTGCAATCTACCAATCTGATGAAGGGCTAATATCCAGAATCTACAAAGAACTGAAAGAGATTTACAGGAAACAAACAAACAAACCCATTCAAAAGTGGGTGAAGGATATGAACAGACACTTTTCAAAAGAAGACATTTATGAGGCCAACAAACATATGAAAAAATGTTCATCATCACTGGTCATTAGAGAAATGCAAATCAAAACCACATTGAGATACCATCTCACACCAGTTAGAATGGCGATCATTAAAACATCTGGAGACAGATGCTGGAGAGGATGTGGAGAAATAGGAATACTTTTACACTGTTGGTGGGAGTGCAAATTAGTTCAACCATTGTGGAAGACAGTGTGGCGATTCCTCAAGGACCTAGAAATAGAAATTCCATTTGACCCAGCAATCCCATTACTGCGTATATATCCAAAGGATTATATATTGTTCTATTATAAAGACACATGCACATGTATGTTCACTATGGCACTGTTTACAACAGTAAAGACTTGGAACCAACCCAAATGCCCATCGATGATAGAGTGGATAAGGAAAATGTGGCACATATACACCATGGAATACTATGCAGCCATAGAAAACAATGAGTTAAGTGTCCTTTGTAGGGACATGGATGAATCTGGAAACCATCATTCTCAGCAAACTGACACAAGAACAGAAAATCAAACAGCACATGTTCTCACTCATAGGTGGGTGTTGAACAATGAGAACACATGGACACATGGAGGGAAGCATCACACACTGGGGTCTGTTGGGGAGGTATAGGGGAGGGACAGCAGGGACTAGGGAGGTTGGGGAGGGAATACATAGGGAGAAATGCCAAATATAGGTGATGGGGGGATGGTGACAGCAAACTACATTGCCATATATGTACCTATGCAACAATCCTACATGTTCTGCATGTGTACCCCAGAACCTAAAGTGCAATAAAATATTTAAGAAAACAAAAAACAATGAATCATACACTTGTACTCCTTAAATGAGTGAAATGTATGGTATGTGAAGTATAATTTCAATAAAGGTGTTATTAAAAAAAGAAGAAGAGATTATAAGTGGTACCTCTTTCATAATGAGCATATGTGAGTTTAAGTAGGGTAAAAGAGAAAGCTAGGCATCATAAAGCTACACAGGACACAAAATTGGCAAACTTCACTAACGACGTAAATGGCAATTTGATTCAACAGTCAATAACAAAGATGCTGTGACTTGTGGAAGACACTGTTACCTACCTATCCAATTACCTATTTTTCTCCTTTTCTTTGCTAAAAGAATCTTGCTAGATTCTCTTTGGGTTGACAATATACTCATCTAAATATTGACTTTTGCAGCTAACCTTGTAGCTAATTCTACCCAGAATAAAGGAAGAAACTTCTGGGAGTTTCTGAAAAGGCTTAGCTTTCCTGATCAAGATCAACAGTCAGGGCTGGCACAGTCCATTTCCCTCCTCTTCTTGCTGTGAACATAGATTTGATGCCTACAGGTGCAGCAACAAGCAAGACAAAGAAAACCAACAAACTAAAAGTGAGTATCAGTGATAAAAGCAGCCTGGGTCTTTGATTACCTTATAGTGCTTCTGCACCAGCGTGGACTTCCTACTCCCACCCTTGCTATTATTTCAGAAAATGAAAACCCTATATAAGTTAGAAAGGCAACATAGTTAGGCTTTCTGTTTTTTAAAGCCAGATTCAGTCTTTACCTGTATGGTAATCCCCCTTATCTGCAGGGGTTATTTTCCAAGACCCAAGTGGATGCCTGAAACCAGGCAGTACTGAACCCTGTATGTTTTTTCCTATACATACATACGTATAATAAAACTTAATTTATAATTTATAAATTGGGCACAGTAACAGATTAGCAACAATAGCTAGAAATAAAATACAGCAATTATAACAACATATTCTGTAATAAAAGTTATGTGAACATGGTTTCTTTCAAAATAGTGTAATATTTTCACTACTGTAATATATTCAGTACCTGGTTGACCATGAGTTACTAAAACTGTGGAAAGTGAAACTGTAGATATGGGAGGACTACTGTATAATACTTCTTCAGCCAAAAGTTTTAAGTCTTTCAGGCTGTTTAAAATCCAAAGATAGTCTCAAAAATCAGAGTGAGAAAGTAAGCATGGGAATTTCTGATTTTTCACCATGGGCATGTAGGAATTTTTTTTTTTTTTTAATCTGTTTCAAAATTCAGGAGTCCAGAAAGTAAGAACCCATATTACCTGGCACATTCTATCAATATTTTCTTCAGTTGGCATTACAAAGTATACTGCAGGAACATCTGGAATAGGATCTCGATCAGAGTGCAAAAGCCTAGAAGACATAAGGAATTAAAACTTATTTTTTCTCAGTCACTTATCTAAAAAGATAGTTTAAAACAATATTTCCAATATTTCTCAAAATAGGAGTTCACTAGCTTAAGGACAGTAACGAGTGTTCAAAAAGTTCTTGTTGCAATTAATCAGTGAGTTAACCTAGCTTTCTCCCATGTCAGTGTTGATATTATTTATTAGTATTAATAAGACCCTAATTTCTTGTTAGTATTCATTTGTTCTATTCTGCTCACACTTTTAGTACCACTTATGGTCAGACATTCCTTTCTACCAACATTCTCCTTGAATGAGAACTAAAACATATTCAAAATCAACCCTACTCCCACTTTTCACAGAAATATGGTGGTGGTCAGAAGGGAAGAGTGAGTGTGAGGAAGGTGTGTCTCTCTGAGGGGAAAATTAGAAAGCTGGGGGATGCAATGAAAAAAATTTTAGAAGCAATTTTTCAGAATCTATAAAAAAAATTTAACTAAACATGAAATCAAATATATTTTTAAAATAAAAGGTATATAAATGTCTCCTTAAAACTTAAAGACAATCTATTATTGCCTATTTATTATTTCGTAAGAGAATGTAAGCATCTTACAGATTAAGTCACTTGACGGTTTTCTCCTTTTACAATTTAGGAACAATTTCCACGCAAATAACCCAACATCAAACCACGCTTACATGAGGAATATTCACCTCTCTCTAGTCATTCCTCTATAATCAAGGAGAGAAAGGAAAGAGGTACATGCTGCCAGTGGGCCTATATTTAATAACTGCTGCCACTGACACCAAGAAGGATAATGTGATGGCTGCAATAGGTTGTTTCTTTTTTACACTGCTTGTCCAACTACCTAAAGGGCTACAACCACCATTTCATATTCTGGAAACTTGAAATTACTGTTTCCTACAAATTAGCCTCAGCTTGCAGAGTATAAAGTAATGATACAGTATTCTCCAGCAAATAGAGAAGAATGGTTGGAGGCAAAGTACACAAGAGTACACCATGGTAACTGTGTAATATTTCCATGCTCTGGTGGCAAAGTAGCAAGTTAGGCAGAGATTACTAGACTCTCAAACTGGTAGACTATTCTGTCACCCCTTAATGAAGTACTGAGTTAGGCCTCACTTCTGTTAGTTACTGTTACTGAGCCACTACAGTTCAGTAGACAAACAGCACAGAATTAGAGGTCAAGCAATGTGTCCATGGCTCTGTTATTAACTGGTTGTACAAAGGTGAGGTATTCACTTAAGCCTTCTAAACTCTACTCTCTCCATTAGTAAATTAAAAAGTTAAACACTTGTTATAGGGACAATGGCACCCAATGCTTATTAATAAACCACAATTTCCAAGGATGGCATCAAATTAAACTTTACTTCAGTCCATAAGAATTAACACATTATCAAAGCAAATCTGCGTATTTCAGTCTGACACAAAAATGAAAGGAAAAACTCATCAAATATCATATTTCATGAAACCCAAGGTGGTAATAATTTTAAAATATATTTAATTACTACTGAGAAATAAAAACATTGCCAGTTATGACATATTATCAGTGATAAGACAGGTCCTAATTTCAGAAATATAAAAAAGGACATTTGGAATTGACACAATAGTCTACTTATTTTAATAAACACTAATTATACAACTGAAGAATTTGAGTTCATCAAACCAGGTTCTGGTAAGCTACTTACTGAAAATCTAAAACCATATTCCCAATAAGAGTACATTTCAATTCAATATATGATAATATCATAAAAATTCGTTATAACATCATAAATAGAACAAAACGCAAATAGGTTAGAACACCATAAAATTGGATTCTTTTAGAATACAGAGGTATTAGTATCCATCCATGAACACAGTCCTTCTCCAAATGTTCTTTTTTTTGAGACAGAATCTGGCTCTGTTGCCCAGGCTGGAGTGTAGTGTCACAATCTCGGCTCACTACAACCTCTGCCTCCTGGGTTCAAGCAGTTTACCTGCCTTAGCCTCCCAAGTAGCTGGGATTATAGGCGGGTACGCCACCATGCCTGGCTAATTTTTAGTAGACACAGGGTTTCACCATGTTGACTAGGCTGGTCTCAAACTCCTGACCTCAAGTGATCCACACACCCCGGCCTCCAAAAGTGCTGGGATTACAGGTATGAGCCACCGCGCCTGGCCTCTTCTTCAAATGTTCTAATAGGCAAGTCCATAAAGTATGGCAATTTGATTTTTGTTAAACATATCAGAAGCAATATAATCAAATAAACTTAACAGTTAGGACAACATAGATAGCCTCCTCTGGTGATTAACAGTCATTACTTCATAGTCACTTAAATTTTTCATATGAATGATTAATTAGATATTCCTTTTTTAAAAAAAAGTATAGACAGTCTCTGACTTATAATGGTTCAATTTAGGATTTTTTGACTTTATGATGGTGTAAAAGCAGTATATATTCAGTAGAAATCATACCTCAAGCACCTATGCAAACATTCTGTTTTCAACTCTCAGCATTGTAGTCAATAAATTACATGAGATGCTCAACTGTTTATTATAAAAGAGGCTCTGTGTTAAATGACTTTGTCCAACTGTAGGCTAATTCAAGTGTTCAGAGCATGCTGAAGGTAGGTGAAGCTAAGCTATGATGTTTGGTAAGTTAGGTGTATTAAATGCATTTTTTGACTTACAAAATTTTCAACTTATGATGGGTTGATAAGTATGTAACCCCATTGTAGGTCAAGAAGAATCTGTGTATTTAAATTAAAGGGACAAAACACTTTTAGAGCTTGAAGAGGCCTTAAGACTACCAGTTCTATTCTTTTACACACAAGGTAAACCAAGTCTGTAGGAAAAGACCCAAGGGAGAAAATTTAAATTCTGAAATTTAAATTTCAGGATACTTTTTAAATCTCAGAAATAAGGAACTGAATAAAAGAAAATATGAGGAAAAATGTTCAACACTATATAAACACTGTAACCTCACACTATTTTTCTCTATAAATGTTCTTTAATAATTTGATTTCAGGGTGGCCAAAGAAATCTTTAATAATGTTATTTGAAAATGAATGCCACTATTAGAAATATGTAAAAACTCACAGATGCAGAGTGATTCCCATGTCTCTTAGCTCCTTCACAGATAGCAGAGGAGAGATTATATCTTGGCCAAATCTGTCATAAATGAGTACCTATTAAAAAACCATGTGTCATCATTATCAGTGACTAATAGTGAACCCATATTAAGACAATGTCGAAGTAATTTTTATTTTAATAAAGCATATATACAGAAATATTATCCTTGCCTCAGTTTAATATTTTCCATCATTATTCACCCAAATGTCCATCCAGGCAGTAATACATTCTTAAAGCACTACTACTCAGGATAAAATAAACAAATAAATATATAGATTTCTTCTTATAAAATTCTTTAGGTTAAAAAAATAGAGACTATAAAATCCTTATCTTAAGCTATAATAAACAACTTTGAACTGAAAGCAAATTCACATTCACACCCTTACTTTTTTTTCCAGTTCACATATATCTTTCTTAAAAACAGAGATGTAAAAGTTAGCCACTTTCAAAACTAATATGTAACAAGTTCCATGACTATAATAAAAAATTTTGTAATTTAAGCATCTCAGGTTCAAAAGATACTCATTTAAAAAAATTAAGTCTCTCGCCAGGCATGGTGGCTCACGCCTATAATCCAAGCACTTTGGGAAACCAAGGTGGGTGGATCCACAAGGTCAAGAAATTGAGACCATCCTGGCCAACATGGTGAAACCCCATCTCACTAAAAAATACAAAAATTAGCTGGGTGTGATTGGGCGCTTGTAGTTCCAGCTATTCGGGAGGCTGAGGCAGGAGAATCACTTGAACCTAGGAGGCAGAAGTTGCAGTGAGCTGAGACCATGCCATTGCACTCCAGCCTGGAGACAGAGCGAGGTTTCATCTCATTTAAAAAAAAAAAAAAAATTAAGCCCCTAAAGAGTATTTGATAGCCTTATTCTATCAAATATACTTCCTCACATTCTCAAAGTATTAAAACAGATAGCTTTGAGGAACGGTAAGAACTCCAACTAGGCTTTTAAATTCAAAATTAGTTTCACAGTTAAGGCAAGTAAAAGAGATGCTCAACTGGTAAGTGTTTTTCAGAACTACCTTCATTAATTCTTTATGGAGTAAGAAATTGCTGATGAGAGAATTAAATATGCTGTTATGAAAACATGTTTTTCTTGAATGCCAGGCTTTCCTTTAGAGAGGCTGAAAATCTAATTTTTAGTTATAAAAGGTTGATGTTGCATCTTTCAAAAATCTTCCCTCTTTTAATCTCAATACATGTGTATTATTAATCTTATGATATAAAAAGCTATGGGTAGGAAAAGTATTTGACAAAAATTTGTACCCAGGAAATTCTCAAACTATTTCAATCAAATCCCAATGTTGGCCTTAGAAACAAACAAGTATAGTTTACATAAAAGGCAACAGGAAGATGCTCACAAAAGAACAGAAAGGAGAAAACCAGGGGACACTCTGGAGCTTAAACTATGAATTCAACACAGACAACTTAACTACTTTTAGAGTTAACCCAAAGGACTAAGACTGAATAGAGTTTTCAAAACACCCTAACTTCTAAACAAGTTGATTTGTTCTTAATTTTTAGCGAGAGAAATATAAAGTAACTGTGAACCAGTAAGTTTAAACCTAATCAACTGTATCATAATATCTGAAGAAAGAGATGGAATCTGCATAAAGTTTAAAATGAAGAAGCCTAACGATAGGAATTTTTAAAGGCTCTCCAGTATTTCTCAGAGGTAAAGATTGTAGATTGCTTTCTGGTTCAATTAACAGTTTTATATCTCATAAATAAACTGGTATTACAGTTTACAGATCATACTCTCATGAGATTTTTATAATAATAATAATCCAGGCCCTCTGAATCTGACTAACCCCAAGTAAGCTTATAAAATCCAAAGTCTGGACTTGAAAAGCTAAGGAACAAAACATCAACCAGGGTAAAGACCTATCAGTGAGATACTACCCAAGAGATCAACTGGACTCCCTAGATGAAAATCACTATTTTATCACCAGTCTCACTCCACAGAATGTTTGTCAAAAAGATTCATATTAAGACATCATGTTAAATAAAAAGAAAACATTCATAATAATTAATAGGTGTTACTTCTTCCATATTACAATAATTTCCCTTTAATTACCACCAGTGAGGGCTGAGAAAAACAGAAATCAGTTCCCTTTAAGATAAATTCTTACCTTCCATACTGGTTCTCCTGTGCTGTTTTTAACATGAGGCACATTGAAATTCAACATACGCTTCAAAGCCACTGAAAATAAAAAGTTTTATCAAATATTGTCATTGTTTTTTAGGATTTTATTTTCCCTCCATCATTTATTATTTACTACCCCAAAATAAAATACATTAATCAACTCTAGTAAAATTGATTAACCAAATGACTGTATGTAGAACTAGGGGTCAGATCCTGCAAGACTATTCCATCATGCTAACTGGCATGTATTTGGGAGATTTCCCAAAATACAATAAGTATCTGTCCCCAGTGAAATTATGGGAAATGTTCAGGAAGAAACTGCAATAGCCTCAATATATTGAGGCTATTGTCTGTTTATTGTCAGGCTGAAAGCATAGATCAGGGTCAATCCTTTTTTTTTTTCAGTTGGAGGGGTCCAGTGAGAAGAATCAGTCTTTCTAAAAACAAAATTATCCATGGCATATTCAACTGGTTCATATACAAAACCTTCATACAGCAGATTTGTCTATAGTCATGTAAGAGCATATTTTACAACCAATTTATCCTGTCAGATTCACTGAAAAGTTGCTTAAAATTCTCTGTCCCTTATAAAACAGACTTTCCCATATAGTAGATAACTGATAACTCCAGCTAAGCAAATACACATCAAAAATCACAGTTATGCTATTATAGTATTTTGTGGTTTTTATTGCTCATCTGTAACAGTGTTACAGAAAATGAAAATCCCTTAATATACTTCTTTGTGAAACCGAGATGGCCAAATATTCAACAGTTATACTCTCTTAATTTTTATAAAATTGGGAGTCTTAAAATCCACTTGGTTATTAAAAACATTTGCATCAGGCTTTAAGTAATATAGAATAACCTATACTCCAAACTCCTACGAGAGAACTATATAATACTAAAATCCCGAGTATCAACTTATAGCCTAATTATTCACTCACAAGAAAAACTTCTATTAAATGCTTGTTTGCTAAGGTAGGTCTAATGCTGTTAAAACCACTATCACTGAAGAGATTGTACTTTAGTGATACATTTGCATACATATGGGTGTGTACATAATGTGCCGAACCCCTATTGTCTCCAAGAGGGATGTTACCATGTTTGAGAGGCCTAAGAGACCCGGAGCCAGGAAAGGAGACATGGGGTTTTACTGGGGGCAACACATAGGGGAGAGAGTCCAGTGTTAGTGGGCTGGAAAGGAGAAGTGTATGCTCAGTAGCGATGTGCTGGGCTGGAGAACCACAGTCGCGTGCAAAAAGCGGTTTATATGGCAAAAATGTGGTTTATACAGCATTTTCACTTAACAGTTCCGTAACAACCTCCACCTGGCAACCTTCATTCAACCCAAAAGTCAGGGCCTTGATTCACTGCATTGCCTATGTTTCACTGGACAGGCTGGGGGCTCAGATGTTCCTCACAGACAAGGAATGAATCTCCAGGTAGGCTATTCTCTGATTCCCTAGCTTGGAACACATATCCAGGTGCGTATGCAACACAGGGTCAGTCTCAGGGCATGCTTAAGTTATTGCTATCAGGTGTGTTTACCATACACCTATAGGCATAATTTTTGGTAAAATGTTAACTAACATCCAGCCAATAATACACATTACCAGTAATTAATACCTACTTCAGAGGTCCACAGGTGTTATATTAAATAAAATGTATTTTATTTATTTATATTACAATATCAAATATATTTAATATAATCTAAACAAAAAAAAAAGTTTAATACTTAAAACTGAAATAACATAGGAGGCATGGAAGGGGTTCCAGGATTAACTTTCCAATTGTGCATTTGCAGAGCTCTTCCTCCCACCTCCAGGCAATAAAGAAACACCACCCTAGTACTGATGCCCAAGAGGGAGGAAACCCTGTTTCTAGGAACAGCTGTTCACACTCTTGATGCCTGATAACTTGGAAGAATGAAAGCCTGGGCTGCCATGTGAGCCTCAGATGTTTTGCATACTGCAGTTAGGCCTTAGCTAACTGAAAGAGGCCAGTAGCAGCAAACAAGATAATCCTACCTTCACCTTCTGAGCCCAATCTGAGATTTTCTCCAACTTTGAACCTTGGCTAACTTCTTAAATGGTATTTTGATGCAGTGCATTTGTTAACGAAGTGCACTGCCTGGGTTCAGGGTTTACAAGAATGTGATTTTACTTTTATCAGAGTTTAACTATCCAAGGCTTAAACCATGACTTTTAACTGAAATGTCAAACCATTTGCCTTCTTGGCTCTAAACATACTACAGGTTGAGCATCCCAACCCCTAATATCTCTAACCTGAAATGCTCCAAAATCAAATATTTTTAAGCTGGTGCTTGGATTGGGATAATGCAAATATTCCAAAATCCAAAACACTCCTGGTCCTAAGCATTTTGGATAAGGGATACTCAACCTGTATCCATATTCCTAGACTTGGTTAATGTAGTTTCACTTTTACCTGGAATGTTTTCTTCACTCATGCACTGAACAAATACTGTCAGCTACGCTTACTATTCCATTCATTCAACATGTTTAGTGATTGCTCACCATAGGCACTGTAGTTATTGGGGATCTAGCAACTGAACAAAATGTGAATAAAATTATCCCTTCTCAAGTAATTTTTATTCTAACTGGGGAATAAAGAAAAAAAAGTAAAACATATGGTATGTAGATGATCGTTAAGTACTATGAAGAAGGTAAGATTGGGAAAGGGGAAGATGGAGTTGGGGTGTAATTTTAAACAGGGTAATCAAGGAAGTCCTCCTGAGAAGGTAACATTTGAGTAAAGAGCTAAAGGAAGTGAGGGAGCAAGCCATGGAGATTCTCTCTGAAGCAGTATTTCAGAAAGAAGAAACAAATACAAAGGCTTGAAGGTGGGAACATTCCTAGTGGGTTCAAGGAAAGGGAAAGGTAATAAGGAGTGAGGTCCAAAAGCTATATGAGAACCAGATCGTAGAAGGCCTTGAAGAAGGCTGTAAGACCACTTTGGTTTTTATCATGGTTGAAATGGGAAGATGACAGAAGATTTTGAGCAAACATATGGCATGATCAGTTTGTGGAAAATAATTAAGGAAAACAGGATTGGAAAGCAAGAAGACCAAATAGGTTACTGCAGAAATTCACAGTGGATAGGACCCAGGGATAACAATGACAACAGTTAGATCCTGGATATATTTTCAGAGTAGAACTGACAAGATTTACTGAAGATCTGACATGAGCTATATGAAAGAGACAAGTCAAGAAAACTTCAAGGTTTTTGACCTGAACAACTGTAAGGATGGAATTGCCATTGACTGATATGGAATAGACTGAGATCAGATGGGAGGGTCAGACTAGGGATATAAACTTGGGAATCACCAACATACAGATAATACTGAAAGCTAAGGAGCTAGATGCTAACACTACTGGGACCTTGCAATGGGTGGCGAGTTGAGGGGGGCGGGGGCAGAGAAGGTGAGCAAGAACCTATAATGAGGAGGCATTTAATGAAGAACAACAGCAACACAAAGCAGGAAACAACTGTTTCTGCCTGTTGAACTGAAGGTATGGATAGAGAAGGCAGTGAACCAGAAAGAAAGGAGATGGCTTGTGGGATGACCTTCAAAAGATCAATAAAGATTCTTCAGGCAGTCAAAGCAAGAAACAGGCATGTTAGTTTACCTCTATCATACTTTCCTCACCTGTAAAATGGAGATAATAATACATAATCACCTAAAACAATGCCTAAAAATAGTAAATGCTCAATAAATACCAACTATTATCTCATCCACCCAAATATTCTGGTACCTAGAATATTTGAGGATTGTGAGTTACTTCCCAAAACATTCTCAATATGCATGAGGAAAATAGTTAATTCTGCATTATAATACATATACAAGGATTTACCTTCCTCTGAAAATGAGACAGAATTCAATGACAGTAAAAATTTGATTAAAAACAAACAGATCTAGCACAATTTACTAATTATTCTGTAAAATCTTATGTTTATTTTTGCAGAAATACAAACTATTAGATTTTAATGATCTACAAAGTTTCTGCATACGTTTACAGCCATGCAAATTTATTTTTCAAAAAGCTCCCTTGTATTAGTACAATTTCACTGACACGTTATTTTAATATGTAGTATAGTCATCAGAACCACAGTATTAAGACAAATGGAGCTTCTATTTGCTTACACAGATAAAGTGAATGGCAGGTATTCCCCAAATCTTATTTGAATTTCCCTATATTTAGTTATGCCTGACTTCACCAGATAGGTTATACTAAATTATTTACTGGGAAAAGCAGAAAGTAACTCAATATTCTTTGTGTCATTACTAGGTTGAAGTCTATAATTTTTTCTGTAAATGCCAAAGGAAGGAATCAAGTACAGCCCAAATCCTTTCTGTACGTCATATGAATTATAGTTATTTTCCTGTTCATATTTACATCCAAAAGAGCATAGTTTCAGGAAACAGAATTCCAAGTATGCATATTCTTGATGCCTTATTTCTATCAGGTCCTCAATAAGTGGCTTGAAAACTTTCAAGACAATTAATTAACAAGCATAAACCTTTAGTTTGTAGCTAACAGGTATAAACCAAGTTGTCATGAGTTTTCAAACAAGGCAAAACTAATTTCTAAGATGGAAACCCCTCTCAAACTCAAGACAGTATGTTCTTTTTTATATTTCTCTGCCTAAATGGAAGCTATATAAACACGCTCTATTGAAGACAAATTATTTTGAAACAATACTCTGTCAAACAATTAAAATGAGAAAGCTATTTATTAATTTGTTTTGCCATTCTTCAATTCCTTCCAGCAAGCTGAAGGAGGAAATCTTTATCACTAGGCATTTTTCTGCAGTACCCTCAAAAGATTGTTCCGAAGTAAAGTGGCGCAAAGCAAGCCGCTGTGAAAATACCTAAAATCTGTAATTGTGGTGGAAGTGCCAGAAAATGGGAGTTCTCTCAAAAATCAAAACCAGAACTGAACCACGCACAGAAACCAACGCGGAGACCTTACAGGTGGCAACATAGGTAAGAAGGTATCAGCTGCTAGATGTTGTGACGGCCTTCGGATGTCCACCAGGAAAAAGACAAAACCCGGGCCGTAACCACCGCACACCGCTGAAGCTCCTTTTCCTGCACCACAGGAGGAACCGAGTCCTCAAACTAATGGCATCTTCTCCCCAAAAACTCGAAGGGGAGGAGCTCTTGATGTTCCAGGGACTGGATTAAACTCTGAGAGATCGGTCTCTGAGCTGCACGCACCACGACCGAGTGAGGGCGACAAGCAGAAAAGGATGTCGTCGTGGCAGTCACGAAGCTTCAAGGGGAAGAGAATAATTCAGTACCTGTCTGCCTTTCCCGAATACTCGCTGAGGACGCCGTCGCCGTCGCCATCTTGGCTCCCAGGAGCGACTGCCCGGCAAGCTTGCGGAGCCGGGGGATGACGTGGCTGCCCTTACCGACCCGGAAGCAAAGCGCGGAGAGGCGGGGCCAAAGGAGGTGCCTGAGGGCCAGACCCCACCTCCTCCAGGAAGACCCTCGCTCTCGGTAGTACTGGCAGACCCAGTGCAGGTTAATGCCTCGGTAGCCCTAATATTAGCAGAATACTAAGAATTTTTATCCTATCAAATCAAGCCACACTTTCTCAAATGGTAGCTACATTAAATTGAGCTCTGAGCACTTAAGGAGTGACAATACTCTAGGAGATGAAGACCACAGGACTGAAGTAAATGAAACTCCTGAAACACAGGCAACACGTCAACGTTAGCTCTCGTTTCTCAGTGCAGCAGGAGTCTTCCTTTTGCTTTTTCCGGAGAAACGGAGCATCACTCTAATCTGGCGTATTTCTCAATCGCATCTCTTAAAACAAAATGGCATAGCTTTATGGTGGCGTTCTGCTGGCATGGACACGGGGTGCAGGGAAGTACAAAATGAGCAATTAGCATTCTTCCTCTTTCCTTGTAGTAATTGCTAAATCACAAAACATTGCCGTGGGAGGGAAATCAGGCAGAAGTGGGGTGTGTGTTGCCAAGGCTGGAATGTGCAATCAAGACTCGCTGCAGCCTCAAATTCCGAGGCTCAAACGATCCTCCTGCTTCAGCCTCCCAAGTAGCCAGGGACTGCAGGGGCACATCATCAGGCCAGGCTAATGTGCTGGTTTTTTGTTGTTTTGAGACAGTGTCTCATTCTGTCGCTCAGGCTTAAGTGCTGTGGCAGAATCTCGGCTCACTGTAGCCTCGACCTTCCGAACTGAGAAGATCCTCCCAAGGTAGCCTTCCACATCAGCCTCCCCAGTAGTTGGGACTACAGGCAGGGGCCACCATGCCCGGCCAAATTTTTCATTTTCTGTAGAGATGGGGTTTCACCATGTTGTCCTGGCTGGTCTTGTGCTGGCAGCTTAATGTACACTTGAAACCACGTGATGGCAAAATGTATGGAATAGATGATTTCTAACTTAATCCATACATTTCACTGTATGATAAAAATGGATACACAATGACAGCTCATTTCCCATATGGTTTCAATAGTTCATTGATGGACACTTCATTATAAAGTTGTGCCAAATTCTGAAATGAAATCAGACTGCCTCAAAAGCTTTTCAAAATTACATAAATGAAGTTAGCCTAACGATTATATAAAAGATTGTTTGATTGTTTTATAGTGTAAAACATTAGCTTTTTTCATTAATAAAAACTTTTATTTTTGTGTCATTTAAAATAGGTTATTTTTAACGCTATTAGGAAACGTCCTAGCATTGAACCTACAGTCTTTAAGAATTACATAATCTCTGCCAGGTGCGGTGGCTCACACCTGTAATACCAGCACTTTGGGAGGTGGAGGCAGGCAGATCACCTGAGGTCAGGGGTTCGAGACCAGCATGGCCAACATGGTGAAACTTAAGTCTCTACTAAATATACAAAATTAGCCGAGCATGGTGGCAGGCTCCTGTAATCCCAGCTACTGGCAACTCCTTGAACCCGGGAGCTGGAGGTTGCAGTGAGCTGAGATTGCAACACTGCACTCCAGCCTGGGTGACAGAGCAAGATTCTGTCTAAAAAAATAATTATGTAATCTCTCATTTTTATAACCGGCATATTCATTAAGAAATGAACTGGAATACTTGTGTTTCTCCAGTACTGTTACTAATATTTTGAAGGAATCAATGATCTAGGTGTGTTCCAACTAAACAGAAATTAATTTCTGCTCTATGGAAAAGTTCTACTGCATTATATAGTCTCCATGAAATATAAAGTATCTGAAAACCCAATTTAGCTCATTTGGGTACTTCCAGTTTCAAATGCAAATCCATCATTGAACCACTTCAGTTCCATCACAGATTCCCTCCCAAGACTATAAGTCATATTAAAACCACTAAGACAATTTTAAAATTGATGTATACTACATGCATATGAAATGATAAAAACTCCTGACCTAGTGCATAGAGTGTGGGCAGTAAATTTACAGAAAAATATACCCCACAGAAGAACAGTAACCGTAGACAAATAGCCCTTGTAAGGCCAAGACTGGGTAAGGTATTTTTGTTTTATTAGAATCAGAAAGACTGAAAATAATCTATAGCTACAGATTGTTCATTAACCTAATTTATTATAGCCATTTATCTGACTCCAGATTTTCAGCTTAAATAATTTATTCTGGCAAGCTATTTTACATTAGGGGATAGTTTTAACACAAATTCCCTCATTTCTATAGGTTCCTGGGTGTTCTATAGGTAACTGTTTGCTAACAAGATCTCTCAAATGTGGAGTAAAGGAATTTTGTATCTTTCAGTTTTGTCAGAATCTTAATCTTGTTAAATCCCAACAAATAACTTAGTTTATACAGGCAGTTTATCTTTAGTGGCATAAACACGTTTATTTATTTAGAAAACTTTGTTATAAATCTCATGCTTTTTGGTTAATCTGGCAGTCTTTAAAAAGGGGAGAAAACAGGCTGATATATAAACTATCACCCAGCATAATACCTGGCATACTGTAGGTACAGTGTAGGTATTGGGATATGTTTAGAAATTAGAAAAGAAAATGGTCAAAATCAGAACATGAAAACTGAATCTCTTCAAGGCAATCCAAATTTTCCTAAACGACAGACAACCTACATTCAAGTAATCAATCATTAAATGTGTTACGTTTTGCATTGCCTTACTTGAAGCATGAAACTGTATTGCATTACTTGACCCATAAAAACTAGTTTAATAGCTTATTGTAAAAGTAACAGTGCAGTACATGATAATCGCTATATAAAATAATTACATGCTTATAATGATTTTGTTCTGATCATTTTCTTATAATGACTGGGTGCTAAAGGCACAGTCACTGAAAAACACTTACCTATTATATAGTCCCCTTCACTTAGTATTTAGCAGTGAATACAAAATAGCTTCCATATAATTAGGGAAAAAAGTTTACAAATGCATAAAATACAAACCAAGGTAAATTCTCATGCTGGTAATCAAATAAAGGCTTCTTACTTAACCCAAACAAAAGAAGTCACTTCCTCAAATTATAGAAACTAAATATTACAAAGCATAAAATTCTAAGTTTCTGGTGATATATTTTATAGAATCTTTATCTTGAATAGTAGAGAACTGTATAAAAGGTCTAAAAGTTTCCATATTGGAAACTGTTTAAAAACAATGAATATCAAAGTAACTCACCATTAACAGTAGATGCATTACAGGTCAATTTATAGTTTTCTTCAACATTGACAGCAAGAGAAAACAGTCTTAGAACATACAATGTTTAGGCAATTGAAATATTTAAGAAATATATATATATACATATTTATAAAGATTTATAGCATAATTCTTTTTTAAAATTTAATGTCAGTAAGAATTACGCACTGGTTATAAAATGAATAAGAAGAGAACAATTATAATACCAACCATATGACAAAATGACACTGCAAAAAATAAATAACCTACAGGTTTCTCTGATGTTCCTTGACCATACAGATTAATCTAAAAATCATAATAATGGAACAACCTTCAAACTAGAAAACATTTTACAAAATAAATATTTATGCTTCACTTTTAAACACCAAGAATCCTATATTATTTACACCATCTTATCGTGAAGGCCCTGTCTACATATAAAATAAATGACGAATTGAAATACTGTTTTTAATTGTAGCTAAGTACACTGCCTCTCCATCTGCCACCCCACCCCAACGAAGTGTGTATGTGTGACTTACGAGTTTTAATTTCTACCCTAGGGGAAAGTAATTAAAACCACAAACCAGAAAATAGCTTTAACTAGGTTTTTTGGTTTGTGTTGATTTTTAAGTGTTATAAAAACTAGATAGATTAGAAAACAAAATATCTTTCTTATCAATACATTTTGAATAAAAACTGTATGGTGAGTTTGAGGTTTATATTAGCTATTCAAACTCTTTGATAATTGATCCTTCAATTACTATTGATAATCCAAAAGAATTCAACCAAAGACAAAGAAATGCCTTGTTTAATGTTCTTAAATATTTCCAGTTAAAGTAATACTTTAATTTGCTAGTTATGTTAGTGTATAGATTGAAAAAGACATGACGGAACAAGAAAAGTACACTAGGATTATTTAATTTTCCTTTGGTAATAGGAGATGTATTATCTCTATTAAATCTCTTATTTTTCTTAAAAGATATCGATAATTTAATATTTAAGGGTGAGAATATGACAACAGCTGACACCTGCTTTGCATATTAAGAAAAATGTGGTTAATTAAAACATTCTACTTCCCATAATGATTTACCTTTCATAATGATTTACTTTTGTGGAAACTGAGCCATTACTTCATTAATATTTGATAATGGATTAAAGACATCAGACATTTTTTTTCCAATTTTTTCTTTTGTGGGAGTATAAATATGGGGATATGACTATGGGAATATATATCTTCACATTGTTAGTAGGTAATTTGTTACTTTTAGGTATTCTTTGTCTTTTAGTACCATTATTAAAGTTAAAAAATAAAGGAAACATAAGTAAAGAGTTTATAGAAGGATACACAGAAACACAGGACTTAGATCTTTCAGTGGTGACATTAGAATGGGTTTTTCATTTTGTCCTTTTTACTTTATTTATACATTGCTTATATAACAGACATCATTCAAGAACAATGAAGTTAACAGTATAATGCCATGGTGCCAACTTACCTTAGCATACAGTCATCCTGATAATAAATAATGGTCAAATGGCCAAACTTACCAATCCACAGAGATCATTTAAATACCTAAAATGATTATGGATCCAACATACAGAATACCAAACATAAGATAGAGAAAAACAACAACAACAACAACAACAAAAATTTCCCACTATTAAAGCCAAGGCTTTTAAAGGAGACACACTTTCTTAGGTATTTTCAACTATAAGTTATCAACCCCAAAAGTGTTCAAACTCATGGAATGTCCACAGATTCCAGAAAATTTGTGCAATTCTGCGCTTTTTTTTTTTTTTTTTTTGAGATGGGGTCTCGCTATATGGCCCAGTCTGGCTGAACACTGCTCGATTCTCCCACCTTAGCCTCCCTTGTAACTAGGATTACAGGCACATACCACTGTGCCCAGCTTAATTCTGTTTTTCATATAATACTCCCCACTAGGCATAATC